TCTGCTACAGGCCTTTGTGGGCTACAGGAGAGCTATTAAAATGTCTGGATTTGAAGTAGTAGGACTTATCATTGGAGTGTAAGTATGCTAGAAAAGCGCCTCCGACAATGCTAACAACCATACATAGAATACCAATTGTCGTCAAAGGACTAAAGTTCTACGAGAATGATGCACAGGTACTCCTGCATCATAAAATCGCCATGAACGATCTTATTGTATCGCTGCATGCTGAGCATTCACGATTCAGGCACTCTTGCAGTGTGTTGTTGAGAGGTCTGGTTGAAGACGAGGACCTAGAAGACCTTTTAGACAAGACTACTAAGGACGATTGGGAAAAGGCATTAACTGAAGGTCTAGAGAGGAGCCTCAGAGACAAGCTCGGACACCGCTATTATGCATACACCGAGATAATGAAACAGATCCAGGAGAAGCTTGAAAAGTTGGGGAAAGTAGTAGGCATGGGCAAGCAACAGGTAAGGGTTGGCAGTTATATCGTATGGTAGACTCGCTGACATTTATCCTAGCAATGGTACGAGAAGACGGAATACGAGAACCAGAAAACATGGCATAAAATCAAGAAATGCATAAAACACAGCAAGCACAAGCAACTGCTCGAGGATATCGAAAAGTACAACACAAAGTTGGAGCAAATGACACCAGGAATATTGACGCAAGCACAGACAGCACTTTCTCAGCCGAAGAAGGTAGATCTAAATTACTGGGACTCTATCAGGCAGGCGGCGATGAGTCTACACAGCGCCCTTTGTTCGGGATGGCTTTGCTGCTGCGTGAATTCTCACGTCACTCATTTCCAGCTCGAAGATCGAGCGACTGGAAAGAAGGGATCTCATAGATTCAAGTTGTCGTTCAAGATGCCTCAAACAGGCGATAATGGGCAAGCTGTGGAAAGTGGTGTCTGGAAGAATGCGGAGTTTGAAGCAGTTGAGAGTGAAAATCTCCCAGGGAATCTCCCTCGATCTCCCGGAGGTGTTGCTTTCGCCCCATTGAGTGTAATTGCTTCACCTAATCTCAAGGTGGAGAAGCATATCAAGGATCTCTGCAAAGAGCTCGCGCAACCTTCCTGCCAGCTTGCAGTTCGTTGCATAGGATATATACCTCAGGAAGAGCACAAGCACTACATTTATTTTCCCGGGCGACTTCTTGCTTCAGACCGGCCGAGGAACACAATCACTCTTTACAATTTACTCTCGAACAAGGGTCAGCCGGGTACGCAGTATACCTTTGGCAGCGCGGTAGCCGACAGATACGAGTTGGCCCTATTATTAGCTTCTTCGCTTCTTCAACTACATGCAACTTCATGGCTTGGAGATTGGTGGTCCACTGACGATATACATATCTTGCCACGAAACTCAAAAATGTCTTTCAAAGACTGCACCTTCGTCATGCAGACCTTCCCATCGTCTACCATCACTAAAGGACCTCAGCTTAATAAGACTACGACTCGCCAGATGGTCATTCGAAATGAAGCAATATTTCGACTCGGGGCGACGTTGGTTGAGCTCTCTACCGTAGCAACACTAGAGGCACAAGAAGAAGTTGACGACCATAGGATCACGGAAGAATTGACGGACTTCAACACAGCGGAGAGACTTTCCAAGGCCGTCGCACTCAACAACGCACTTGAGTGGAATGCAGTGGTTGATCGATGTTTACGCTGTGGCTTCCATTCGCCTCCGGATTTTACAAGGAAGGACTTCAGAGCAGAGTTTTATCAGTGTGTTGTAGGACCACTGGAGAAATTATACAAGGACTCATTGATTAACTGAGATGTAAATCACGGATATGGAGTTAATTTAGATGTAAGCAGCAAAGATCATCTTTTGAACAATGAAGTGTTTATCGGCGACTGGCTTTGTGAGAATGAAGATGTGAATTTATTGAGGAAAGAGCAATTCTATCAATAAGAAAATGGTCTGGCTAGATACTTGGGATCCCTCTCTGGCTTCCCTTCAGGTGGCACATCCACTACATCCGGGTTGACGTACCAACTGGGATCACCCTGCTCCTCCTCCTCCATAACACAAACACTCCACCCATTGCCCAACCATCTAAGCCTATTCTCATGCATCTCCTCAAACTCAAAGTCCTCCCATCTCGGGGCCCTCAACGCCTCTAGTGCATGCATGACACTTCCCGGCCACAGAGCAGAGATCTTGTCCCCACGTCCGCCTCCAATCTTGTACCATGACTTGCAATCATCCATGTAGACTGTCTTCTTGAAGTACTCCCCGACGAAATCTCCAAAGTCTTTGACGCGTGATGCTTTAGGCTCCATGGTTATGTAGTCTTCCTTCTGGAGCTTGCGGATGCACTTGACGATGTAATCGCCCTGTGCCTCGAGAAGACAGGTCAGAGAACCAGCGCCAATGGCTGAGTTGGGTCCGAGCATCATGAAATAGTTGGGGAAGCCATCCACCGTCAAGCTCAGATACGTCGCCGGGAACGGATCAAACTTGTCCTTCAAGGTCACTCCTTGTTTGCCGACGACAGGGAAAGGAGGGGTGTAGTTAGTCTGGAAGCCCGTTGCGCAGACCAACACATCGATGTCTACTTGTCGGCCCTCAGGTCCTGTGAGCTTCAGGCCCTTCTCATTGATGCTCTCGATACCTTTTGTGATAAAGTCGACGTTGGGTTGAGTCAGAGCTTCGAGATAGCCTGGACCTGGCGTCAAACGACGACATCCAACACCAAAGGCTGGTGAGAACGCTTCAAGAAGATCAGGTCGTGAAGCTAGGACATCATTGGTAGTCTTTGAGAACATGGCGACAAACTCTTTCTGCAGCTCTGAGTCTTTGAGGGTTGAAAGATGGACCAAGTTACCGTCGTCCTCGATGCGCTTACGGAATCGAAGATATTCATCGTCACTCTTGATGAATTCTGCCAGACGAGCGGCCGAGACTATTCGCATGTTAGACAATTCAATTTCACTCAAGTCAGTCTTGAGAACTCACATTCAATTTCAGAAGGATCCCATCCCAATTGCTTCATCGTCCCATCGCCAAAGCGGTTCGATATCCAGACCTTGCTACGCACAAAGCAGCTCAACTTGGCGCCCTCGACCTTTTGCAGTGCTGGCACGATCTGAATCGAACTCGAACCACCGCCGATGATACCAATATTCTTGTTCTTAAAGTCATATTCCTGATCCCAGGCTGCTGAGTGCATCTTCTTGCCCTTGAAGGTATCGAAGCCAGGAATGTCAGGCCAAGAGATGGTGTTGAGATTACCTCTCGCTGCAATAACGACGTCTACTTCCTCGGCGAAGCTCTCCCCTGCGTTTGTCTCAACTGTCACGTTCCTAGATCCTGTCAGTATTTGGTCGACATAAGTGAAGGCAAGACAGACCATTTCTTGGCGGATTCATTCCAAGTTGCGCTGGTTACTCGGTGTCCAAGATGAATGAAGCGCTTGGCACCGTATTTCTCCGCCACGCCATCGATGTAGGCGCAGATTTCATGCGAAGGGGCATAAAACCCTGACCAAGCTTTATTTGGAGCGAAAGTGTACTGATAAGAATGGGCTATATGGGTAGAAATGTCAACAACTTGCAATGTCGTGTGAAGTTTTTTTGCTTACATGGGATATCGCAGGCACAACCTGGATACCGATTCTCCCACCACGTTCCTCCGACACCTTCATTCTTCTCATAGATCTTGAGATCAATGTTGCGCAGACGCTGGGGGATTCTGATGCCGAGATAGACGCCTGAATACCCAGCGCCAATCACACGGACCTTGAGAGGGCGTTGGTTCTCGACTGGAGCATCCTTGCAAGTGAATGCTTCATGGACCCCGTTTGCATGAGCGGTGGAGCCGTTTACCACTTTGCCCACAGTGGACTTCTGGCCCAAGACTGGTGTATTATCCATTGTCTGCGACGGAATAATCGCGGGCTCAGCTGGGTTTGATGAGTTTATCCCCATAATGGAAGCGCTTGACGAAGGAAGAGTTGTAGAATAATGGAATAGCTTGTATCTTCAATTGAACAAGAACAATGAATGCAGCTTTATGTGAAATTGAACACCTGCGACTGGCTTGAGGCTGGAATATTTACAGGGTGAAATGCAAACAGAAAGATTGTGAGCCTCCCTCGGCTGCTCCCTCGGCATGCCATCATGTAACCCTTTAACCCCTCTTTGCTCTCAAGGATACATCAACCACGGCGCCCAATTGTATCGCTGCCGCTGTGTAACGCCTGGTGTTGTTGCCGCACTGTCGCCCCCCAGGTGCCGTTGCCGCCAAGGATGTGTAAACTCTTATTACCGGCTTATATCCAGAGAGTGCCACTGCCGCGATCCATCGGGAGATCCATCGGGAGATTCACCAGGTCACGTGTGCCTCCGAAGGAGGTTTGACAAAAAGAGCGTCTCTTGTCACCTGTATTAGTTGTTCGAGAATCTCATGGTGTTGGATGTGTTGCCCGATCGACTTCGTTCAAAGACCATTCCCGCAAGGAATCACCTGGGGACGTGTAGAGGCGAATCAATGAAAAGACCAAATACGTTAGGGTAGTTCTTCCAATGGCTAAATGGATGACTTGTTATGTGGTTATTTTCATCAAGCCCCAAGGCAGCGAAATATATGTCAAACGTACAGAGGCATCTTCTTGCGATAGACGCTGGATCTCCTCTGCATTGGTGATAGTCACGGACTTATTACTAACAGATGTCTTGTCTTGCTGGCCCAGACTCGTAGCATGGTCGTGCCCGGCTGAAGAATCCGTGAGAATCCGCGGTGGGGACGGAAATTCCGTAGAACGTCAAGTGGGTACGGATACGGGCAACCAACTTATCTCATGACCTGATGTACCCCGCAAACTTGAGGAACTGGCCTGATAAGATAAGATAAGGTTCGTGCTATATCGGCCTAGACGCGATTATAAGGAAGGGCGTTGTGACGAGAGTATGAGAGTAGCAGGCCAAGTCAACTTCCTTATCTCTCATCAGTCTCTGTATTATCCCTCTAGTCAGACTCTCTGCAATGTCAACCAGCAACTTCCAAGTGGCCGTAGTTGGCCTCGGTGCTCTCGGTAGCGCAGCAGCCTATCACGCCGCCATCAAAGGAGCTACTGTTATCGGTTTCGAGCAATATGACTTTGGCAACATCTACGGATCCTCACACGACACATCCCGTATCGTCAGAACCTCTTATGGCTCACCAGACTATGTGGCGTTAGCCCGTGCAGCTTACAAAGACTGGGCTGAGCTAGAACGTCGAAGTGGTCTTCAAATGCTCACCATCACTGGCGGCGTTGTCTTCTTCCCCAAACTGGCTGATGACGGAGCATCTCTGAACAAATTCGAGAAGAGCATGAGTGCTTCTGAATTCATGAGGAGTCTTGATGCAAACAATATCCCGTATGAGGTCCTCAGCTCTCAAGAAGTCAAGAAGCGCTGGCCTTCGTTTGACATTGCAGAAGGCGTTCAGACTATTTACACTGCCGACTCAGGAATCGTGCATGCGTCCAAGTCTGTGGCTGCAATGCAGTATCAAGCTCGTGCCAACGGCGCTGTTTTGAAGGAGAAGACACGCGTGGATGCATTGATCCCAGATTCCAACGGCAAGGGCATGACTATCAAGACATCTCGAGGTCAATTCCACGCTAACAAGGTTATCTTGGCTTGCGACGCGTGGACCAACAAGCTCATTACTCCACTTGGCACAAACATCCCGCTCCAGATCATGCAAGAGCAGGTCACCTACTACAAGCCAGCTGATGTGACGCCATTCGATGATACCAAATTTCCTGTATGGATCTGGGCTGGCAACAGATATTTCTACGGGTTCCCCAGTTACGGCGAGCCAACAATCAAGGCAGGCCGCGATACATCTAACAACTTCATGACACCCGAAGAACGCACCTTTGTCCCGTCTGACGATCTATTCGACGAATTGACCTCTTTTATGGGCGGTCTGATACCGGACAAGGGACGAGCCATTCGAACAGTGACCTGTCAATACGCTATCACACCTGATCGTCAATTCGTCATCAGTCCTTTGAAGAATCACCCCAATGTTATTGTTGGCTTAGGTGGAGGTCATGCGTTCAAGTTTGCGCCAGCGATTGGTCGTGTGTTGGCGGAGCTTGCGATAGATGGTGAGACAAAGGAGGATATCTCCAATTTTGGCATCCCTAGGGTAGGGGCAGACAGCAAGTTGTAGAAGCATAAGCATTTAGACAGCATTTATAAAATATCATTATAAACTTTGAATTATCTAATTGTCACTATATGATTGTAAGAGATACGAGTTACTCAAGCTACCTGTCTAGTTCATGGTCATCTCATGTAACGGGTTGCTGTCGTTCACCAAACTGAAAACTTAGTCCAGTGCATTGGAACAACAGGTCAGCACCCATTGACAACGTCGCTCATGTTACGAACTTAATGAAATGAATAAAAACTCAGAATAACACAATAGTCACACGAGAGAGTTCAACGCGTTATAAAGTTACTTTTCCTCAATTGAGCCCGTTGAAAAGAAGGTATTCGCCGTTGCAAGCCACGTCTCTTATCGCAAAATTATGTGCCCGATAAGACAAGACCCGGAATTTTAAGCAGGCCGAGAGCCAGTGGCGCTCCTCCCTGCACTTTTGACTCAAGTGCCAGGCCCAGTAGTCAGACGCGTAGCATACATAATCTGCACCAACTCTGAATGTCACCAACCGCTCTCCAATCTCACCACAAGCCATACCATCACACCAATAAACATAAGCATGAGTGCCCCAAGATCAAGACAATATCGACGCGTTGCTCAGGCCTGTGATAATTGCCGGTACATTTATCACTGTTGACAATAGCAGATGTGATTGCTGATGAGGTTACAGTCGCAAAAAGATCCGTTGCCCAGGTGAAAGACCGCGATGTTCAGCATGTACACGTCTTCGTCAGCAATGCTCCTTCACTGAGGCCAATCCTATCAGTGAGGATACCACTAGTAGACTGGAAAATCGCATGGTAGGGCTACTCATCCAAGTATCTCATACCTCTGACTAAGAGCTGCAGTCAAGTCGACTTGAACAACTCGAGGATAAGTTGGACAACTTAATAAGCAGAGTTGTGTATGTTCAACAGTACTCTAGCTCGTACAGCGAGGTCATACAAACTGATGATATATAGTCCTCCATCAATGCAAGAGACTACACCAACCTCCACGTCAGACAGGAATAACCGTATACCATCATTCTCATCAACCTCGCCTCACACTACCCTTCCAATAATGTAAGTTCTTCCCTACCCACTAAGCTTATAAGTGCTAATCAAAGACAGATCGTCAATACCAACAGAAGTAACTACAAGAGCCATTGACTTTTACTTTCGCCATATTCATCGGCAACCTCTTTGGCTTTTTGGCGAGCGCCCTCTACTACCTTCCGATACATCCGAGGAACTGATCTATGCCATGTTGGCTCTAAGTATGACTTACAACACGGAGGATATGCCCATGGATAACCTTCAAAGTCCCGACTCTTATAACAAAATTGCGCGGAGAGGTGTCATGCTCAAGATTGCGGAGGGCAGAGTGACTATTAGGTGTGCCCAGGCGCTGTGTCTACTAGCTTATTACAACTTTATCTGTAAGTCCATATTCAGTTCTTTATAAGACATCCTTGCAATTCACTAACGCTGCCGTAGTGGGCAATATACCCATGGCTGGCTTCGACATAGCAACGGTTCAGAACATGATCCAGCTTCTCCCCGGTAGTGAGCGCAACCCAAGTAGCTCAGCAGTCTCACAAGATAAATCCCGACTATTTTGGAGTATTCAGTGCCTAAGCTCTTCCTGCGGCAGGCCAGTCCTATTGCCTTCCATACCAACTAGTATCGACGCACCTCAAATGCTCACGGTCGAGACCCGAGATTCTCTAGGAACCTGCATTCCAGCTCCAAAAGCCACAGAATCTGGTTTAAGAGAGACTCTCGTTGACGTTTGGTCCCAGTCCCTAAAGATTTGCGAGCTATGGGGTGACGTTAGACTCTACGTCGCCAAATGCTTCGAAGGCTTAGCCAGACGTCCTTGGCATCCGGATTCCGACTACACCAGACTTTGTTCGCGGCTGCTAGAGATTGAAATGATCTGGCCGATCTCCCTGAGCTATAACGCAACAAAGTTCCCAGAGCTTTCTCCCCTAGAGGTAGAGAATAACCGGATGGATTGGTTACCATGGCTAAGGGTTCAGATGACCTACCATACCATTCACTGTGTCCTCAATCACCCATCTCTGTATACAGTAATGGCTGAAACACCAAAGAGTAGACTTGGAGGCGACTCGTTCTGGAGAGCATCGTACCTGAAGGCTTTGAGGCACTGCACTTGGGTCTCGAGGTTGATTCGAACAGCGGAGGAGAAGAATCTTCGACTGGCCGATCCTTTCTTTGCTCAAGCCGCTGCCATCGCCAGTACATTGCATCTATACTGGACTAGAACCAATGATAGTCAGCTGCAGGCATCTTCTGTGAGAAATCTGGAGGTTTGCCGGAATCTTGTGCGAGAGATGGCAACATGTTGGCCAGTATGCAAGACAATTGTATGTACTCACCGCAGAAACATATTCTACTGATTACTGACGCCTAAATCAGGAACATACTCTGGATCAGTTCATCGAGTCAACTGATCGCTCAACCCAGATGGCGACAGACAAATCATCACCAGCCGTCGTCAGAACATCTCTCATTTGGGTCTTACTGGACGTGGCGGCACCTCAATTCCCCAACTACCATGATCAAAGCGTTCACGGCCGAGACGTTTGGGGTGGTCATGCAGCTACCCAAGACGAAGATGGTCTACCAAGGTCCGAGACGAGTTCACCGCCAACAGACATGCGAGAGTCAACAGCTCAATACGCGTCACCTCCAGCTTGGGTATCTGAGAGGACAGACACGAACCCACAAGAGACAGTAGAGAATGGTATGATTACGGCACAGCATGGGGTTAGTAATGAACATGTGACTACGCATGATTTGGCCTGGGGACCTTGGGAGAATCTTGGACCGATGGGGGAGAACTTTCGTATGAACATGGACTGGTGGGACATGAATCAATTTTAAAAGTCAAGGTATAGGGAAACAGTTCAAATAATACATACTACTATCGACGACTACTTAACAATACACTGACACAACAGGAACTCGAGGTTTGAACCTCTAATACAGCTTGAGGCCCTCCCTTCTCTAGGATGCACTTCGACCATATGGTTCGAATGGCAGAATAACAGAAACGATAGCCATGACAAAGAACAAAGCCCCCGAGATGTACAAGGGTGCTATAGTGGTAGTATCAGCCGTCACCGCAATGACGGCAGAAAGAAGACCCATGATACGGTTGAGCGAGACCGCGATACCATTGCCTGTAGTTCGGTGCTCAGATGGAAACACCTCAGCAGTGTATGCGTAGAGTGTACCGTAGTAGAGGTTGATGCAAACAGCTAAGACTTGTTAGTACTAACAACGTGGCGGACACAGTGAACCTACAGATGCAGCTGCTGATGGCAAGATTCTGGGCTGGCGTCTTGATGATGGTGTAGCAGAAGAAGAAGATGGCTGTGATCACAGCTCCGATAGCCATTGTATACCGTCGTCCGAGGAAGCTCACTTCAGCAAGACCAGCGGCAATCAGAGGGCCAAAGATGGCGCAGATGTTGGTGATGGTGTAATCGCGCCAGGTCTCGGTAAAAGACGGTTGGTAGTCGGGAAGACGGCTGCTGAGAAGGGATCTGAATCTGTTAGTCTGGACCCATTTAGTACATAGGTTAGGAGAACTCACGGGAGGTAGAGAAAGAAGAGAGGATATCCAAGGCCAATTAATGTCCAAGACAACCAGATGAGACAAGTTGACAAAGCCAACTTCTTTGTCGAAAACAGTCCCTTGACGTGACCAACCAGACTCTTACCCAAACCACGAATAGCCAATCCCTTGCTCCCACCGTGTTCAGGAGTATGAGCTGTTCCACAAGCCTGAAGGCCCTCAAGTGTCAACGAGCAAGGTCGCTTGTAAGTGCTGGCAAGCTTCTGAAGCATATCAACAAGCTCTTCCTCTTTGCCATTGGTAACCAAGAACTTTGGAGTTTCAGGGAGTCGGATGATTAGAATACGAAGGGCGGACATGACCAACATGAGGGCTCCGCCGGTGAACATGATGAGTCTCCATGATTTGTTGTTCTGCCATGTGCATGTCTCGACCGTAGCGACGCAAGTCCAATCATTTCGAGCTATGAAGATGTTGAGTTAGTCCCAACCCCACAGAGGTCGGACGGGAGAGGTAGCTTACAATAGAAACCCCAGGCGATGAACCCAGCACTGGCTTGACCAACACCCCACCATCCAGCCATAGCAGTAATAACCCACTGCTGCTTTGCAGGCACAAACTCCAGCATGACAGTCGGATCCAAGACAAGATTGCCACCAGCCCCAAAGCCAAGAAAGGCCACAAAGACACAGAAAGCAACCCAGCTGGGACCAGCTCCTGCGACGATGGTAGCAATGGCAGCGATGAAGAGAGTAATGTTGAAAGCAATGCGTCGACCGATGATATCAGCGCCGAAGCCCCAGAAGAGAGCTCCCATCTGGAGTCCGGCGTACAGAGCCATGGTCGAACCAGTGGTATAGCCTCCATGGCCGATCTCAAGGTAGGCTTGGCCGGCTGCAACGCTCTGGAGGAAAGCTACCAGGGAGTCAGCTGCGAAGCCGAAGCCTGTAAGGCAGCAGAGCCTGAGATGGAAATTGGTCCACCCGATTTCGTTGATGGTCTTGAAAGTCAGCATGATCAACACTCATCTGTCCTCAGTGGCCTTACCTCGTTGACAAGATTGATCTTGGCCGACAAAACGGGATCAACAACGTTACCAAGTTCATTGACAGTGCTGACATGATACGAAACATCATCAGCAGCCATAACGTCCTTCTCCCGATCACTCCTCTCCTTAACAGAACCCGAAGCAGCAGGGACCTCAATATTCGACATTATAACAAACTCTCAAATCATACGATGCAGAAGATAGTATGCAAAGATATTGCGTCAAACATGGAGACACAAAGTCTCCTTTAAACACGAATCAGGTAATTCTCCATGATAATTCTCCAGGCTTGGCCGCTCGGCTATCCAAGCTTCAGTGGAAACTGATACGCGCTACCCCACAAACTGAGGAGGGTAGCGAAGGCGGGGGAGATATGGGCACCAATAGGGGGATGTGTTATGATCTAGCCAAGATGATTAGGTCTACTGTATCTGTTTAGGGCGGAATGGGACTGGGATGGCCTTTGGCGAGACTGTTCGGGAGGCGCGGTTTCTACGTTTTGACTGAATGTGTTTGGTAATAGTTACGGAATGGCAAATGGCTACGGTATTCCTTTGTCACTGTCGCATAGAGTAATGTTCAGACGTGAATCTCAATATTGGCATTCCGCAGAGCATGCATGCCTCTTCAGCTTATCGGTATATCTCATCAAAGAACTCATGAATCCCAATGTTTCCTGTTGTTATTCGGAGTGTCTGTAGTTGAGTTGTCATTTGGTTTGGGTTAGTTTCCGTGTTTATCATGATAAGCCTCACCCCCGAGGTCGGACACGGACCGAACACGGATTCATCCCGTGTCTTCAACGACAGGCTCCGTCTCCACGCTACAACCAATTGACAGCGGACTCGGAATCGATCTCCCCGGTCTATTCTCCTCAACGGCCAGAGCCCGAGTTGACGATAGTCAAATAGAACATCACATGAAGTCAGCCACGTAGAGTAGTCTCATAAAGACCCCCCTCATGACTCGCCAATACAACACCAGCTTAACGCCTAACCTTGTCTAACCCTTGCAAACATGTCCACTTCCATATCTCCCTCTTTCATACACTATCTCCTCTCAGCCGCTGGCCTCGCCGCGCTCGTATCCTTACTAGCGAGGTATCTCTCACATTCCTGACCCCATAAAGATCCCGTCCCCGCATTTCTCAAAGACACTACTTCCACAGCACGAGCATTACCCGCGTCTTGGTATAGATCCCCAGAAGTATACGAACTTGAACGACGGGCTATCTTTGCCAAGAAATGGATCCTTACTACTCATAAACTCAGATTCAACGAGCCAGGCTCGTGGGTCAGGTTTGAGCAGGCGGGCTTTCAGTTCTTTCTTGTGAAGAATAAGCAGGGACAGATCAATGGATTTCACAATATTTGCAGACATCGGGCTTTTCCTATCATGACGGAAGATAAGGGAAAGTCAAGTATTCTCTCTTGCAAAAGCCATGGGTGGTCGTATGGTCTCAATGGTCAACTTGCGAAAGCTCCAGGATATGATGACATGAAAGGCTTTGACAAGACCAACAACGGTCTTCTGCCTGTTGATGCCAAGGGCTTCATCTGGATCAATCTCGACTCTTCAAACACACCTGAGGACTTCGCAACCGAGTTCAAGAACATTGATCAGATGGCACGACATAAGGGCTTCAATTTTGAGGACTATCGTTTTGATCATACTTGGGGCATGAGCGGTGACTACAATTGGAAGACTTTGGCTGATAACTACAACGAATGTTATCACTGCAAAACCGCACATCCAGATGCAGCTGATGTCGCTGATCTATCGGCTTACCGAGTCGATACCAAGGGCGGTAACATCGAGCACTTTGCCAACACGAAACCTGAGATGGAAGAACAAGGTCTCAGGATCGTGAGCAACTATTACTTCCCCAACGCTTGCATGACAGTCTCGTAAGTTATCTTTCAAATTTCCCTTACGCAGCTAATATTATAGTCCCAACTTCTTCTACATGATGCGATGCGTTCCTAATTCACCCGGCCATTGCTCTATGGAATACGAGGTGTATCGACACAAGAACGCCACTGATGAGGGTTTCCAGACTATTGACGCGATGTTCAAGAGGATCTTAGCGGAGGATAAATGGCTCTGCAAAAATGCACAGAAGAATCTTAACGCTGGTGTGTTTGTGAATGGTGAAATGCATCCTAAGATGGAGCAAGGTCCTCTATACTTTCAGCATCGCGTTAGAGGTATCTTGAATGGCCATTATCAGTTGGAAAAGGCAGCTGGAAAGGAGATCAATCCAGCGCAGCATGTTCCGTCTGATACTTCTCGTGGGACGGAGAGTGATATGGGCTTTTGCTCTGGTTTGGCTTGTGGGAGAGATGCTGAACAGCTAGCTTGGTAGAAAGAAAGCTTCGACTGGGCAACCATTTGGCAAGTTAGGATATCGTCAGACTAATTTCACGGAAACTTCGAAAGTTATGTAGAAGATTCATCATAAACAAATTGGAATCATCGTATTGCTGAACTCCATAAATAGCTAAATACAAGCATGCCTCATAATCGTATGCTTATCCCATATCCCATACCAATCCTCAAATCTTTCCAGAGTTGGAAGTAAAGTACTTGCTAATGTCATTATCCTCACCACACTTCTCACACTTGTGAATAACAGGCTTGTTCGTTCCAACCTGCGGCGCAACAGCACCAGTGATAGGTCTGTGAGACTCAGTCTGATCAACCTTACGCTCAGTCTCAGGCTCCTCGCGAATCTTGTCCTCAACAGGCTTCTCATCCTTGTTGCGGGACACAACAGCTGCGGTACCGGCCCCGGCGGCTGCGGCACCTAGACCAGCTGCCTTGGTACCGAAGTGACTGTCATCCTTCTGGGTAGATGAAGGCTGCTGAGAAGAGCGGCTGGTGGAGACGTCGACGTCGTAGGCTACGCCAGAGGGTGTGCCGGATGCGAGGGTGTTGTACTTTCCAGCGTTAGCATTTTCGGCGAGGGTGGAGTGGTGAGAACCGGTTGAGCGCTGGGAGTGCTCTGACTGTCGGGAGGGCCCGTGGTGAGAGCTGTCGAAGGCAGAGGAAGAGGTTCCGAGGCCAGCGCCGGTGCCAGTAGCACCAGGCTGAGCTGTTCGAGAACCATCATTGCTCAAGTAACGGTCCTCATCACGCTTGTTGGACTCATGCGAAGCAAGAGCTCCAGCTCCAAGACCTGCAGCAGCACCGGTTGCAAGTCCAGCTCCTCGGTGAGATCCCTCCTGTTGGTAGGACTGAGAGGTAGGGTCGCGAGTAGAAGTGGAAGTAGGTTGAGTGGTCTGAGGCTCAAAGCCTCGGCTAGAGTCAAGACCACTAGGCTGCTCAGAGTGATGGTCGCGACCGGATCGAGACGCCAGGGCTCCGGCACCAAGTCCGGCAGCAGCACCTGTAGCTAGACCTGCACCGTGATGAGAGTTGTCCTGCTGGTGCTGGGAGGTAGGGTTGGCAGAGCTGTATCCAGGCTCAGTAGTCTGCGATGAAAGACCTCGGCTGGAGTCAAGTCCCGATTGACCAGTAGTCTCATGCTCACGTCCAGATCGAGAAGCCAAGGCACCAGCACCAAGGCCAGCAGCGGTACCGGCAGCGAGGCCAGCACCACGGTGGGAATCATGCTGCTCATATTGAGATGTAGGGATGCTAGAACTATAAGCAGACTGGTTGCCCTGCGACTCCAAACCACGGTTCGAGTTAAGACCAGTGTGCTGACCAGTAGTTTCGTGCTCACGACCAGATCGCGAAGCAAGAGCACCAGCACCAAGACCAGCGGCAGTACCAGCAGCGAGTCCCGCACCGTGGTGAGAGTCATGCTGAGAAGTCTGACCAACAGGATCCTTGTGAGAGAAGTTGGCGGGTTGGTCTGGCTGAGCACCATATGCTGAGGAGGAGCCAAGGGTTGAAGGCTGGTTAGAGCTAGAGTGCTGTCCGGAGTGAGAAGCAAGCGTTCCAGCGCCTAGACCAGCTGCAGTACCCTTCGCGAGGCTGTGGTCACCGTGAGAACCCTGTTGCTGGTATGTCTGAGCAGTAGGGTCTCTGGTAGAAGTGCCAGAGGGATTGTAGCTCTGGGAGTCGTAGCCAGTTCCGGTAGGACCAGTTCGATCATTGTCAGAGCGCTGAGCATAATGCGACGCCAAAGCGCCAGCTCCAACACCCGCAGCAGCACCAGTCGCAAGACCAGCGCCTCGATGCGAACTATCCTGCTGGGTAGTACCAGTAGGCTGTGTGCTATAATCCCTGGTAGAGTCCAGTCCCGAAGCAGGATACTGCGTCGCACCCCGAGTATCAGTCACATCACGCTGAGTCTTGTCATCATGACCCCGTCCAGCAGTGTTGGCACCCCAAGCAGCTCCAGCAGCGGCTAGAGCAGGCTTTGAATGACCATGTCGCTCCTGATCAGCCTCCTGCTCGGCCTTGGCCTCCGTCTCTGTCTTATCCTTGCGATGGAAGAGAGCGCCGAGCTTGCTCTCCTTGGGTTCTTTAGCGTGCTTGTCCTCTTTGTGATGCGTCTCCTTGTCCTTGTGGTGAGCCTCCTTCTCCTTGTGATCCTTACCGAGAAGAGGGAATGATCGGTCCTTGTGTTCGTCGTGAGACTTATCGGTGGTTTGGTCGACCTTGCTTGGTGTTTGGGTATCATCGTCGTGGCGGCGCTTGTTAAGCTCGTGAGCACCCAATGCACCAGCGCCAGCGGCTCCAGCACCAGCTAAGCTCTCATTGAAGCGAGAGCCAGATGTTTGGCTGGGGTTCTCTTGAGTAGTTCGCTGCGCATCGATGGGGTCGGTAGTAGAGGATGTAGTGTCGCGATCGTTTCGGTGGAGGAATGTTCCGCTCTCGAGAGTACCAGCCGTTCGAGTTGGCTCTGTCGCGCCAGAGTGAACAGCCCGATGACGTGCATTCTCATCTTCAGGGCTGCCGTGGCCGATGACTGTGTTGTGAACGCCTCCGCTAGGAAGATCACCCCAGTAGGGATGGTCCTGGGTAGAGGGTGCAGCAGCACCAGTGGAGCTCTCGGTAGCGGGGATCTTGCTGGTGTCACCCAGACCTCCAGCGGCTGTAGTACCTGTAGCCGCAGTGCCAGCGGTTGTAGTGGTTCTGTCTAGAGGATCGTCGCGTCGCTCGGAAATTGGCTCGTTGGAGGGCTTGTAGGAGGTAGGATCGTTGGACTCAGTGAAGCCAACACCAGAGTCCTTGTGTGCATGGCCTCGAGGGTCATCGGCCTTGTGAAGCTTGTTGTGCTCGTATCCCTTGGAGTAGCCTTGGTGTGTTTCGCTGGGCTCCATTTCTTCTGTGGGGAATGATCCTGGGGGATGGTGAGATGTCTCTGTGGTGGTGTCCTTGGACTCGTCGGAGTGGAGGATGTCCTTGATCTTTGCGCCCAGACTGCTCATTGTGAATGTTATGTAGTGTTTGTTTTAGGGTATGGGTATCAAGAGTGGATTATTAGATGTTGTTTTGTTATTGAGTCGTGAGCGTTTGATGATGAATTTTACTAAATGAGACTGTTCACCGACCTCATATACCACTTCACTTCATCCCCAAGCAAGGCCAGCTCGACTTACCTACGTCGTCGACATCATTATGACCGCCACGGGAACTAACAGATCGTGTGGGGTGCAGCCAAATCGTTGATTGACATCTGGGTTTCCCAGCTTTGGACAGCGAGATCCCTGTCGACCTTACCGCGTTGGGTCAAGAGCTGTACGCCATTCCGTCATCCACATAACTAGCTCCCTGGACATCTTCGATCATTAATTGTGCAACGTATGATCTCCGCTGGGATTACGTCTTTGTCGCTATTTCCCTGGTCTGGACTCGTTCAGCCGCATGCGCTACGAATGGGGATTGCATCATTTCAGCTTGTCGGCATGGCCACGAGGTGTTTGACTGGTATTGCCGAGCTGTCGAGTGTGTGCAAAACAGGATTATGGTTATTGCGTGCTGTAGCGGTGTGATATCCAATTGTGATGCAATCGGATAGCTTGTCATTTATTCCGTGGCTGTTGAGCTTTGCCTCGGTTGAGGTCCTTGATTGAGCTGAAGGGGGGTAAACCAGAAGTAAACAAGAGAGGAGTCACATATTTACATTATCGGTACAATGAAACTGAAGATAACTTAAGTAATTAATAACAAGAAGATTATTATTCAGTTACCAAGGACATGTACTAACTTAGTATTTGTATAAAATGGTATACAACGCTTGATAGTTAATTGATTTCAAGATTTATTTAACTACCCTATAACTTCTTATAATCTAAAGCTACGAGCTGTCTAATTGGATTGGCGTATATCCCCACCGAGGACAAGTCGCGTCGCGTTATCACAAAACGCGAAAAAAACACTACCGTTGCAGCCACTGGCTCAATAAGCCACTTTCAGCATGTGTACTATATCTCATGATCCCGTCGCCATCGGAGACTTGACTGTAGCAATCCGTTCTCATCTCACTTGATGATTCACAGTGCGGTGAACAAGACTCTACCCCATCCTCTTCAACGCAGCAGGGAGGATACCAGCCATCTTAGGTGCGCGTTACTCCCCAGATGAACGGCGCCAAAGAATTGAACCGACCACGCCATGGAATCGACAATCTCCGCGGGCCAGGCGCTTGGAGTCGTGAACGAGAAATATGATAAGGACGCGTCCTGTCCATCTAGACTTGGAATGTGGCCTCTAGTTGCCAAGGCTGTATGAGATGCTGGAAGTGCAGCATAAGGTGGCTCAGGCCCTGATGCCATGGTCGCGTCTCCTATAACAACTGTCAGCATCGCCTCCAAGAAAAGAAACGCGTGCACATACTCCATCTCAACCCGCACTCTTTCAGCCCCTCCATCATATCCCTCGCAATCCTCGCACCCTTCGAATTAACACTCAAAGCCTCAAACACCCTCAAACAAGTCTCCGCATCATCAGAAATACCATCAGCGTCGAAGCCATCCAACGCATCACCCGTCTGCTGACTAAAAATGCTTGAGACAACCAAGATAGACCCTGCGCAGATCAAACATGAAATCATCTGCCACCAGGGAAATTCCTGCACCAAATCTTTCTCGCATGAGATACAGTGCAGTAGACGTGCTGTCTCGCGTGCCTCGGCGATGCATACCTTTTCATACATGCTCACAAGGGCCCAGTTTGGCTGGCTGAGTGCAATTTCGGTCTCGTCATCGAGATTACGCATGATGGGGTAGCAGAGGTATGGTCTGTGAATGAGAGCGCGTAGATGGTGATACTTAATAGCCAACATGCTTCGCTTCTGTATGTTAGCATTGACCAGTGGCTATTAATTCTGATGGGTCCGTACCTGGCGCTTAAAGATGAAGGACTTGTCAAAAGCATGTCCCAAGTCGAATCGCAATGTTCTAGGCAGCGATTGCTTCCATTGTATGAGCTTGACATCGAGTTCCTTGGTATTAAACAGATCACTTGTCAAATTCTGACCAGCTCTCGGGCTGTAAAGATCTCGAAGGACCTGACTGACGATCTTGGAGAAGGAGATGAGTTCTAGATGGTAATCGCCAACAGAAGGCCCCTCAAACATTGTCGGAAACTCATCACCGTCCCAATCGATGTCGGAATCGCCAAGCCTAGACGGCAGCGGAACATGGCAGTAGTCTTCATGGATCGCTGGTGGTCGTCCCAGTTGTAGAGAGATGAGGCGATCTAGGACGTATATGCGGTACCAGATCCGCCGCCGTCGCTCGACAAGTAATCGGCCTGGCCCTTTGAGTCTCTGGGGATCGTTCTGTTCGACGTGTAACCCAATGCTCTGGGCCATACGAACGGTTTGACCCAGCGTTGCCCAACAGCTACCAGGTCAACTACACATAAGTGGAATGACATTGGACGGACTTACCTGTCTGTTCGGCAGACTGCTAACATGTAAAAGCATTGGGCCAAGAGCAGAGACACATGGTGCATCGATCGGTCTGCCCCTGCAGGTAGAGCTAGAGAGAGTGCCGTGCCTGAAGGAAGTATACTTCATGACACTTATTTGCCCCAATTTGTTCACCAGGTATACTGGTGTAGTAAGCTCCAATGGCGCAAATAACATCTATCCATAGCTAAGATCAGTAACGAACCTCGAATGACAACAATGGCTATAACTTACATATAAGTGCCAGCCTGGTATTATCCAGAGAACAATCATCCGACGAATCCAACGCTTGATCAAGCGATCTCATAAACAGCGACTGCGGAATAAACGGAAACGCCAGATGTACAGTAGAAAAGTACACATCAGCAAAAGCTTTCGCCGCCTCACGACTCGGCAGCTCAACGACTCTACCGGGCATGACATTGACGCTCGGAGACGCAATGTCGTCGACTTGCTCGTAGCTGTCAACTCGTTGGTCTGAGTCTGAAGAGCCAGGCTGGGCCTGCAATACCCGCTTGACCAGGTTGAAGAAGCACACGTCGCTCACTTTACCAAGATATCTCTCAGCCTGACTGACCTGCAGACGGAAAGCAAGAGTATCAGAGCCAGTCAAGGTTGTCGTTAGCCTCGTCGTAAGGGTAGTCGTATCGATGTTGGACAAGGCTCTGTCAGCGGCTTTCATACAAGCCAACACCGAAGAAGCATCTTCCCGATGTTGAGGTGTAGGCAGCTTCGATACCACCATGTCCAATAACGACTCATACTGTCTTATCGCCTCACGCAAATCTCCATGTCCTTGCACAGCACTATCCAACGAACCATCATCAGTAGAAGCCTCCTGCCGCCTCTTTGCCCTCCCCCCAGCTGCATAGACACAATCATACCCGTAGCCCTTGCAGCGACTGCACTCGGGCCATTTCCCATCACACTAACACATCAATACCAAGTAACAGATAGATAAGATAGACCAGGTAAGCTTGCCTTGGATTTCATAGACCGGCATTTATGGCACGCCTTGGCGACGCGCTTCCGCTTAAAGCCGACCCGGGGAGATGCGTCTGCCATGATATGCGAGGTTAAATTGATGGAGTGTATTCTGTGCTGATACAGCGGCTAGAAGCCGGATACTTGTTCTTTTTGTTCCATGTGGGGTTGTAGGCGGTATAGCCGCCTGATCCGAGTTATCCGAGTATCTGTTGTTGGTGTTTCTCCGGTTGTATGGCGTGCACGGAGATTCTCAACTTATGATATTACGAATTATTAATTTCGATGTATCTTATTGGGTTTGGTGTTTGTGCTTTACTGGAATGGGAAGTTAAAAGTGCAGCCCTGCGTATTATGCATACATCGTGACAAGAAAGAAGGCACCTGTTGGATTGGAGTTGGAGCGACGGATCCTGGTAAGCTTCAATTCCATTACATAAAAGAGAAATTCTGATTGAAGGTCATGTCAAAACCTTGACATCTGGGCTTCCGACTTTCCTTCAGTTCCGGCTGCATCTGAAATGCTATCCGTCTCATCAGGCTTGAGACCACCATCACCAGATCCAAGGACTTGTTTTATACTTGAACATGATGGACCTCCGCCATGCAAATGCTCAGCTATACTGAGCAACATTTTCTCTCAAGTTATTCGCCATCTTAGGCCTATTATATACTCAGTCATCTCCATCCCTTCACCCAAGCCATGCGCTTTGAGCTAGTCCTTGAAGCAAATGCTAATGCACACTCCTATCACCCAGACGATCGTGTACGGGGAGAGTTGCTCACCTGGGGCCACAGACTCAAAGAGTCATCCGAGATCACTGCCGAGCTTCAATTTGGGTCTTCTTAACAGCATGATAAACTCTATGCCCTGACACTGAATGCGGGCGCACCTAGGTAAACTAAGTTTACAGTCCAACAAGCGTCAAAACGTTGGAACATCTTCTTCTGTGTACACAGGTTCTTCATGCAACAAGTCAGATCATGTTGTGCACACAGTAAGTAGCCAACCCGAGACTCGGTAATTTGTGCTAAAAGGATGGTAACTGTTCCAACAGTCCAAGCAGATCATACTGGCCACGAAAAGCTCGACCTTAAATCCACCGAGTTAAAATCATGACGCCGATTACTATGCTCCATTTAACTTTACATTCCCAAGCAGCCGCTGTCAATGCCGCTGCCAGCTACCACCTTCACTCAAGAGATCATCCTCAGGGTATACAGTCAAGGTCGAATACGCCATGATCGTAACCGTCAAACACCATCTCCTCTGTCATGTATCGAGACTCAAAACCCTCCGCCAAGTTATTTAGTTCGAGTCAGAACCTTCGATACCTGTCTTACCATCGTCGAATATCGGGTCAATCTCTGCAAGCAAGCTATGTCTAAAGCTATACAAAGCTCTGGCTAGCCAAGGCGTCTCAGGCATCGATCACGATCTGATGAGTGCCTGCCTCAATATGAACCTACGCTGCAACTCTAGGTGTTGCTTCCATCACCGCCTATCTTGACCCCAGGGCGGCCTACGACGATACAGTTAGTCCTGCATACTCCGTCAGAGTTAATCGCCAGCGATAATATCTACATCCGCAGTGTTGAAGCGTAGTTAGATAGCTGTGTAGAAGCCAAAGCCGGTTTGGTCACAAAGACAGTGACCGAGACACGGAGCGGCTGGAACTTGCAAGGGCTGTTCCCTGTCGACAGAGAGCACTTTGAGGTGGACTTAGGAACCTGGGGACATTACCTGTTCATGGATGCATTGCCAACATGCAAGTCGTGCGTGCTGGACACGACGCATTGGCTTCGCATTTCGGTCGGGATATCTATAGGCGGAAGCGAGATGACCCAGGTATGTTTAGAGGTCTGCAAAAAGTGAACGCTGCTAATGAATTTTAGATTGCTGAGACATCGCTTGAAGTTATCATTATAGGCGCACCACCTAGCTACACTACAAACCCATCGGTAGATGCTTAATAGAGTCAGATGCAGAAAAACTACCAGCGGACATCTGTTGAATGAAGCGATTCTTACTTTATCTTAATAACGCCGTTTTTCTTGCAAGTTAAAGAGACATCAGACATGCGAACCAGGCTTCATAGGTCGGGGAGTAAGCGTTCATGACGATAACCTGCTGATTGATAGCATACAAGTATAGAGCGATGCATAAACCCTTTTACAATAAACCCGTTTCAATTCCATGCCATAATTATGTATTGTGCGCTTTGGCCTCGACTGTTTTTTACAGATATAAGCTTGTGTTAGCCTTGTCGCCGATAGAGCAGGGTAAACGCGTGAACTCCGCACTCTAAACCCGTTCTGTAATGTCGGTGTCTTCAAACACCCCGAGATAGCTACAAATTCCGCAAAGTTTACTGAAAATCCGCATTCAGTTGTTTATCTATGAGTTATAAATATCTGCAGTATCTGCTTTAAAGATATGCCCTGCATGATATAAGCCTTCCTGCCTACTTCGTAATACCTTTAAGATATCTATAACAACCAGCAGAGAAGAACTCCAAAATGGCAGTAAAGAAAGTTGCAGTCGTGGGCGGCTCTGGAAGTAAGTACTTAATTAGACACCCAATCAGTAGGCGACATACTTACAAAGATCAGGTATCGGACGTGAAGTCGTTGATGAGATCCTTGCCAGAGGCTCCTACGACATAGTTATACTGAGCCGCGGGGTAAGCCACCACGATCGGTCATGACGCCTTTGATGTTAATTACTATATTACTTAGGCCCAGGCTGCAGACTTGCCCAAAAGCGTTACCTGGAGACAAGTAGACTACAATGACAAATCCGCGCTCGTTGATGCAGTGAAGGGCATTGATACGGTGCTCTCCTTTTTGGCAATGTTTGATCAGAATGAAGCCCTCGAATTGCACAAGAAGCTTATCGATGCTGCCATTGAGGCTGGCGTTAGAAGATTTGCCCCCTCGGAGTGGGCTTCGTGAGTGCCTTCGTCAAGACTGTATCCTCCGAATGAAGCTAATAGTACTCCTTTCAGTGCGAGCAATAGTGGGATCGCTCATTATCAGTACAAGGATGAGGTCCGGAAATATCTGGAAGAAGTCAACTCGGACCAGCAGGTATGCATCTGTAATTCATTTGCTTCCGTTAATTAGACCGTCTAATTGCGACCAATAGAAGATTGAGTACTGCCTGTTCCAGCCAGGCGTCTTTACAGATTACTTCGGCTATCCACACTCCACAACAAAGCATTTCAATACATCTCGCATGTTCGCCGATTTCCAGAATCGCAGGGCCATCATTCCGGACGGCGACGATGCTCCAATCACCTTGACCACTGTTCGGGACATGTCCCGACTTGTAGCCCAGGCCTTGGAATACGACGGGGTATGGCCTACTCGTGGTGGCATGCAAGGGACGGCATTCACTCTTTCCGAGCTTATTGCCCTGGGCGAGAAGCTCCGAGGTACGAAAGATACTGGACATGATAATCTTTATATATCTGCTAACATGGTCCAAGGCCCGTTCAAAGTGGAAAAGCTCTCCGACGAGGATCTGAAGACTCGGACCGTTACGACTTCCTGGTATCCTTTGGTAACACACCATTCGCTTCCCGTAGAGATGAGGGAGCCGGTGTCTCAAGGACTCCTTGTAGAAACCATGGCCTCCCTTAAGAGGGGCGTGTGGACTGTATCGGATGAGTGGAACAAGCTCCTACCCGACTTTGAGTTTACTACTGCGGAAAGCTACTTGAAGGGTATTTGGCAATAGTAGAATTCCTGACTAGCTAAAGCCTAGATATAATATATTTTCTAAATAGTTTTCCTTTAAGTATTAATAATATATTAAATCTCTTTTAAGCCTTCTATTAGTTAATTACTAATAAAATATTTTATACTTAAGGGTTTTGCTCCTGCTTATAAGAAAGCGCTTAAAGTCTATTAAGGATCTAAAGATATATATCTACAGCAATGTATTAGTATATATAATAGGAAAATACCTAAAACCACTAGACAATAAATTATTACTTATATAGAGCATCTTTCTAATTAGCTAGAGGTAATATATAATTACAGACTTTATTTCTAATATCTCTAAAAGTATCTTAAAGTCTATAGCTCTTATCTCTCTCTGCATCTCATCCGTAGATCGTCAGGGAGCATATACAGCTCAATGGCATTAGGTCCAGCCTCTAACAATCCCTGGGGAGCCACACCGTTGCCCTGTATTACGCCGTTTTAAAGAAGTCAGATTTTCGAATCGCTGTATCTGGCGCTGTAGCTAGTCCATGCAAAGGGCAAGAGGGGAGTGTCGAGAAACTGAGCATCGGCCACAGTGCCCTCAAAATCAGGCTATTGATCCCGGTACGGAACTGTTGCTTTATAGTACCTTGTGTGCCACAATTGACCGCGTAATAAAGAGGTTCCATACTCAAGCCCCTACAAGCCTTCGGTCCCTCGAGGAGATGGAGAACGTTGACTGAATTAGCGGAGTTGCGGAGTTAGTGGAGGCGGAAGAATCAGCTGGCACCCTTGCCTGCGGAGTTTCAGGGTAAACAAAGTGCTATAGTTTCATAGTGAGCGGATCAAGGCATTAGTCCGGCAATTGATAGGTTAGTTATACTGCTTTTAATAATTTAAAGTTTAATTTCACAATGATCTTCATGGATTACGCTATAATAAATGCCTTTATATGCCCACCTGCATGCACCCAAACTTCCCGCTCAACACCTCAGACTTTTACCTGGTTTAAGTAATGTACTAAAACCTTACTTTATTGTCTTACTAAATCAACCGCAAGCCCTTCAATCTGGACTATATCAAGCACCATGGTTGCTTTCAAGGACATTAGAGCATCGAATTCGAGGATCACAGCAGATGTCGCGCCCAGCGTTGTAGTATCGGTGGGAGGGACAGCGGGCATTGGCAAAGCCACACTGATCCAACTCGTGTCCCTAGGTTTACCTATCAAAGTCTACGTCCTAGGGCGTAACGGGGCCACGCAAAAGCCTTTCATTGACCGCCTTCGGCAGTCCAATCCCCGGGCAGAAGTTGTTTGGCTCGAGGGACAAATATCTCTGCTTGCTGAAACGAGCCGCCTCTGCAACGAAATCAAGGCCCGTGAAGAGAAGGTCGACCTCATCCTTCTGTCAACTGGCTTCCTACCCATGGGGCCACGCCAAGGTGCGTTGCATGCGAAAACGATTGGTACGCGTTCATATCACGATTAACATTCTACAAGAAACAAGCGAAGGCATCGAAAAGGCTTCTGCCGTCGGGTACTACAGTCGCATGCTCATCATCACCCAGCTTCTACCTCTACTCTCCGCCGCTGCCGCAGACCCCTCCAGAACATACACCCCCCGCGTAGTCAACATTTGCGCTGCGGGCAGAGAGTCGAGTGACATCTTCCTCGACGATCTGGCACTCAAAGCACCAGGGCATTTTGGTCTCGTGAGCTACCTGAAGCACGTCGGGACAATGACGACTCTCACCATGCGCAAGTTGGCCGAGGATCCCGCCAACAAAGACATTGTCATGATCCACCACTTCCCAGGCGGCGTTGGGACGGACTTGATGAAGAATCGAGACTCCCGAGCCGGCGGCTGGCTGGACAATTGGGTCGGCACTGTGCTGATGGGTATCGCCGCTAGAGTCTTAAAGCTTCTGTCCACCACTGCGGAGCAAGCTGGCGAAAGATGTCTGTACCTGAGTACAAGTGCAGCATATGGTGGGAAGGGAGTCCTGCCGAATGATAGTCAGGAAAGTGTTTTGACATTGAGCAGGACACCTAGCGGTTCACTCTTTTCCATTGGCGAAACGCTCGAGCCTGCATGGAACGATAAGGTGCTTGATGAATTGCAGAACAAACAAGCGCCTGAAATAGTCTGGAGATGGACTGAGGGTATTTTAAGACCATATAAGTAACTAATTAGTATAGTTTTATAATTACACCAGGTTCTTTTACTAAGTTACTATGTTTTAAAAGACCCTGTTTTAGCTATCCTGCTATAATAATCTCAATACATCTGTCTGCCAGCAGAGCGATTGCCTGTAAAGGGCATATAACTATTTAAATATAATATTTTTAACTATTAATTTCTTAGACTGGACCCTCTAAGAATTGCTCAGTAACCGATATCACACTCTTAAATTCGTCGTTAGAACCCGTCTATTGGTGTCGCCTGCCGGGGCAATTTACCAGAATACTCAAGCAGTTGACCCGTCGAGATGCATTATCTGATACGGCCTCTACAGCCATATCGGCAGCCCATATAGCGCGATCCAGATCATTAATAGAACCGATGCCCTCGAATCGTTTATAAAGCCAAATCGCGGGGTTTCCAATAAAACGACCTCGATAAACGTGGCCAGGCGGTGTATCTTCCACTGCCATATCGACAAGGTCAATAGCACGGTTGAGATCTTCAATCGAGACCATTATGGCATCAGTGTCTTGTCAGAGCCAACAGTGTGTATTTAGTAGCCATAGCCTGAAAGAAGCACCTTCTCAAGATATGCAGATTGGGAGCTAGGGAATATAATCTAGAGAGTCAATCCATAGCACCTATATATCTCAACCGCGCTGTTGTAGTTTTGGATGCTATGTGAGATCTCTTACTGCTAAATAGCCCTTCTTTAAGAATATGCTTAAATGACCTTACTATGTGCTGAGTAGGCGATTTGATTGGGCCATATAAGATGGAGAATTTTATTAATGACCTTAAACCCCAACTTGCAATTGCCTACTGGACTATAACGCATGGCGACTGGCTACAGAAAATATCATTGACCAACTGTAAGGTCCGCATTAAGCTATCTGGCAAGTTATATATAACGGGTCTGGATACTGACACTATTGAGCGGGATTGGGGTTTCCTTAACGCCAACCGAGAATAAAGGGGTCATTGACCCAACAGAAGATCAACTCAAGGAGATGTACGAGATGCTTAAGGCATAAAGGAGCCCATCAATCACATCTCCAAAAACAACACTTGCTTAATATCTCTCTCTCTTATAGGTCTTGCTAAAGATCCCTCCTACAGGACATCCCAGCCCTCACCTCCAAGGCCCGCTCATCGGGTCGCACTTGTGGGAAGTATGTGTGCTCGTCTATGGCCTTGCACTGAGCTGACTTACTGTTAGCATTTGTGCGCGGTCGCTTGTAGCCTCTCAACTCCGTATCCGAAAACTCACCTATTCAATTCTTGTCCGATGGCTAGGACAGACATTGTAATTTGTCGTCTTCGTCGGGGTTACCATTGGCAATCTGTCGCACTCCTCCCACCACGTCTTCGCGAAAGGGGCTTCACAAGTCCGGGAAGGGCGAATGCCGACATAATTCCGGGCTGATGAAGCGTCGTAGACCTTTGCGGTACAATAGGCCCAGGAAGTAACATGTGTTGTCACATTCCCAGTGCATCCGGCGTTATCGTTACACATGTTGACTATAGGCAGCAAGGTGAATAGTGTTGGTAAATGTATGACTGAGATCTGTCTTTGATGAGATACTGAGATACTATGCAAGAAATGTCAGATCTGATACTACTTTCTCCAGACTGATGGTAAGGGTGATCTGGACCTATCTATAACCTTGGGACCCCTCCACGCTGAAGAAAAACTGATGGACTGACCTCCAATTAAACGCCGCCACGCCGCCTTGGTCAGCAGAACAGGTTGAAAGGATTGGCAGTTTCAAAGGCCAAGATAATATACATTGAAGATGGTGGCAAGTCTGAGGTCGGGGTTGACTGAAAATAAGCAGTCGTTGCTCTTTTCATCTGTTCCTCATGCACCTGTGCAACCATTAACTGAATTCTGAAGTATAATATAAGTACCAGGACAAGAGAGAGGAGACAACAAAGAGAGCACAGCGGTCCAATGCAACAAATTGTCATAGCTCAGCCTGATGATCATCACATTCTGCGATCCGTGGACAAAGCAGCAGTAAACCGATCTCGTGGTAACATAGGAAAACCTCGTATTTACAGGCACGTTTGATGATATCGACAATAAGTGTAGCTTCATGTGGCGTTGACGTGTAGCACCAGATACAACTCTTCCTGTAGCAGGCTTCTAGTAAGACACCACAAGGAGTATGCAATACGCGTATACTTAACAGCCAAAACCTGAAGTGAGTGCCCCTCTAGGATCTTTACGTTGGGGGCCGGGAAAAATGACCTGTCTTTGGTTCAAAAGGAAGCGTCTTATGTCTCGGAAAGAATGAGACGGCACGTTGCACAAGGGTGTGATCAAGACGTGGAGGTCCCAACCGAGTTGCATAAACTCTGTTCAAAACTGTAGCGGTATTGCCCATTCTATGACAGTATCTACTCATCTGATTAGCGACTGGAAACACTCAGTTCATCATCATGGTAGAGATACGTTTCACCCCGCAAGAAGCGGTCAACATTTCTTCCAAATGCGTCTTACTGCAGCAGATTAGTGACCAAAGGTACCAATCGTTTCAATGGTGGCTTATGTATGACACGTTGTTCAATAGTCCTAGAGTCACGCAGGGCAAAAGTGCAACCAACAACTTTTGATGATTGGCTATACTCATGCACGTATTGAGGGGTAATGATAAGAAACAACACAGTGGCGTGCTCTCAACCCGCTGTCTGATTTCAATAAAACCAGACACCGAACTATCTTCTAATCTCACTTCCTTTCTTATCATCGTATTAGTCCCTTTTGAACCATGACTCCCAACGACATTGAGCCTGTCGCCAAACTTGGCCTCAGTCTGGCAAGCTCCCTGCAAGTACAGTCGGAAGCCAACAGAAGAGCCCGGCAAAGGCTTCCCAAGCTAATCAATCTGATCAACTCAACTACCTTGACGTTGAGAAAAGTCGATGATCTTATCCAAGAAAATGTAGATGTCTTCACAAAGCCATGCCTGGACGACATCACGAGCCTGACAGTCACGTGCGAAAAGATCTACAGCGGCATTTTGATCATGCTGGTACGGCAGACAGAGAATATTGTCGGCGACAAGGAGATCAATGAGATCCCGCGGGACGAAACGGGAAAGTATCTGCATTGCATCGCTCACACCACTGTCTGGCGTTATGAGTCTTGGAAGTTACTTGAGGTTCAACTCAGGTACTTTCGGCACCGGTTGATGCAACTCAAGTTTGAACTGACGCTGCGTTATCTTTTGGGCTGTATCGCGCAGCACCAGATGCGGTAGGCTGGGATCATCCTACTATGCCACTTCTGCTAACGTGATGTTTCTACTAGGGCACAGACCCGAGCCCCAGGTAGCTTTGAGACCGAGCTTACAATCCGGCACCTCGCAAGGCAAGTGGCCACTCAACGAGCTGGCCACTACAGATTTTGGTCCAAGAAGGTGGCCAAATGGACCATCATTACTCCAGCACTGCCTTCCAGCAACGTTTCCATCGCGGATGTTAACAGCGCTTGCACCGTTTCAAGTACACCTACGATCGTGGTTGACACAAAGGCTGAAGAGATCAAACCTGTCGAAACCATGCCAGTCACTCAAACCCCAGCGTTGGATCTGTCCAAGGACACTGAGGTAGCGGCTGATACAAATGTTGAGACCACCAGAAACCCAACACTAATCGATCAAGAGCCTATCAAAGAACACAGCACGAGTCTGATGACTGCTACCAGAAACTGGATCAAACGCTTCGTGCCAGGATCTCACGATGAATGGAAGGATCAAGACATCGAGGTTTGGCAAATCGATCTTGGCGCTCATTTCAGTTCCAACAGCAAGTCAACTCAGACGTTCAAGCGGCTTGAACTTGACGACAAACATGTCAGATCCGCCCTGTCCAAGGCGACCTCCAAGCCCAGGTGGAGAAAGCGTCCAGAACTCCTCGAGCAGTATGACTCGCTCGATGGACGTGTCCGCCAAAGAATCGACGAGGCTATCGACGCTGCCAACCAATCGAGCACCAGGGAACGAACCTGGATTGCCATGTCAATATCCGAGGCTGCTGTTCAGGCTGATGCCTCCATCTCTCTTTTCTTCCGGCTCGGGAACGAGATAGAGCCCATCTATGTTTTTGAACCACACTCTGGTAGAAAGCTCACCTTCCCGTATGCTTCATGCAAGGACCTGGATGTGAGTTAAGGAGATGATTAAGCTTTCAGCACCTACTGATTTATTTAAATTGCAGTCTTTGCGCAAAAGACTCTCTTGTCTTAGCCTGGGATACCCCGCGACATTTATCCTCAAAGAGGGAAAGTATTTTTTCTACACTGATGGGGGAACCGTCATTTTACCTGAAGCATGGAAATCACTACGCCGTCCCGGCATGGCTTTAAAGATTCAAAATTTTGGTGCCCTAACACCCCCAGGATTCGGTGGTCCATCGACTTTCAACCGTCCGGGTATGAGGCCACTTAATATGCCTCCTCCCCCAGGTATGAGACCTGGTGGCAACCGTCCTCCACCAAGCTTCACTACCTCTGACAGTTCATCGACACATTCTCGTGCTCCTCCAACTATGAAGCAAGTTCACTGCGAGATGGAGGAGCTGCTTCGACTTTCCGACTTATGGTCTCCTGACCCAGAAACAATCGGTACTGGCCTGGGCAGACTTCTTGGGTTGTGGACTTATGCTCCTGATCCGTATGTCAACGTTACAGAAAGCTCAGATGCAGATTCGGACTGGAGTTGTTCGACGAGTGACTCTGACCACAGTAACCGCAGTATCGCCGATTAAGGGTCACCACGAGCTGTTGATGAAGGAATGTAAAGCATTAGTTTACGTTGAAACGCCAATGCGATTGCATGATCTCGCTTTAGATACTTTGCCTAGTATTTGCACTAAATTGGATAACTACTATTTAACTTTATGTACTTCCCTTGCTGTCGTGATAACTACTGAAAGCCAGCGCAACCTCGGGGAACGATTGCTTACTTAATGTAGTTCGAAACAGAGCTGCCAGTCTGTGAGAAAAGCAGCTGATTAATTTTCGACATATCTAGAAGTCTTGCTATTAACATTATTCACTAGGTTTATTAACATAAACTACCCTAGAAATTCAACTAGTAGTGACTTAAAGTCGGGCAGTATAGGTCAGCAAGTTAAAATAAAAGAACTATTAAATATTATTTTACTAATACTAAGGCTAAAGCCAATGCCATCAACCTGAGTCAGTTATATTGTTCGCGCATTTAAGTCTTGTTTGGTTTAGAGCTGACACGCAATATCTGCACTGACTCTGACGTCACGCGTGTAATCCCCGCGTTTCGTGAACACGACAAGCCTCTTCAACGCCACGCAACCTTCAGCTCAGAGACCAATGATTCGTCCGCCTATTTTAAGAAACTCCAGCCACAACACAACGCTCAATGGTATTACCATGCTAAACCCGTTTGACACTGGGCTAAACCTGAAAAGGCACTCGAAACAATCGGTCGGATATACAGGAAACTGATTGAACAGCATGTCACTCTTTGTCCGTGGTATAGCTCGTATTAGAGCTATATATATGTCAGCTTACATGATTTTATCTAATGAATTTGCGGCTGTGCTACTGATCGTCACCGTGTGGAACGAGCTACGCGCGGCCACAGATCTTTTTATAGAAACATGGTAGGTAATACGAGATGACATCTCCGCTATCACGCAACAAAGAAAAAACATTTCATCTTCTTGCAAATCTTCTTCTGCCTTCTCAACAGGCCCTTAACTTAAAACTTTAATTATTTCCTCTTCCGTTCTGTCATTTACTCTTCTAATTTCAGCATGCGTTTCCTTTCCCTTACCCCATTCCTCGCCCTGCCCGCTTTGCTGGTCGCAGCCCATCAGCCAAATGACGTACCGCCCGATCCGTCATACTACGATGCACCGACTGCCATAAACCACGGCCACGAAGCCCCCCTCGATGCGCAAAAGGTGCAGCAGGATTCATGGGAGAATGGACGGTTGGTGAAGCGATGGCAACAATGGGTTCGGCGACAAGATACGGAATCGTCGGATGGGGACAGAACGACGGAGACAAAGTCTGAGACGCAAAAGACGGAAGAGACCACGCAAGACGAACCGACCTCGACGGAAGAAAAGACTACTACAACGGAGGATAAACCTACGACGACCGATGAGCCCACGTCCACGACCGAAGAGTCTACAACCCAAGAAACAACTACCCAAGAGTCCTCATCCAGCGTCGAATCAACCTCGACCGAATCCTCCGCCTCCTCCACCTCCACAACAAGCAGCAGCATAACCGCCACCGAACCCGGCGCATCCTGCTACAGCACAACCGTCTCAACCAGCGTCGTATGCTCCATAACGACCGACGGCCGCACCGAAAGCGCATCATGCATCACCAACCGCATGACGTCCAGCACCTGCTCCCCCGGCCTCTTCTGCACCATCCACCCCGACTCTGGCGCGACAGTCTGCATGGAGCAGCACAACGAGATCGGGACAGAGGGTATCGTCGTAGCGACGCTTTTTGGGGCGTGTATTGCGGGGTGCATGGCGGTGTTGGTGGGGATGTGTTTGAGGGATAAGAAGAGGGAGAAGAAGTGGCAGAGTATTCAGCGGGTGAGGACGCTGAAGCAGGCGAAGAGGGAGGAGAGGACGAATTTGATGGCTGGTGCGACGCCTCCGAATGTTATATGATGATGGATTTGAGGTTTCTTTTATTGATCCCTTATAGCTGTAGTTTACGGAGTTTCTCGTCAAAGGAATAGGCACAAGAATGTTTCCGACTGTTTTTTGATTATACGTAATGTATTGAACAACTCTGTCTGTTGAGAAAAGCTTCCATATCTGAAAGCCTCTCTCAAACTAGAACAAATGGCGCTTTCCTGGCTGCATACTTGAACAAATGCACCTCCTCTCAAGGTTGCTCCTCCGGCTTCTGCCCAGTAACAACAAATCTGCATGACGGTCAGCTCTATCAACTCAACCCTCAACAATACTTACACCTCCCAATAAGCATGGACCTTCAAATTCCTCATCTCAGCCCTAACCTCGGCAATAAACACCACTATCTCCTCCTGACTCATCCCAAGTCCCTGCCTCAACAAAAAGCTACTAATAGTCTCAAGATTCCTCTCGATATTAGCAAGTGTCCAGAGCCCAATCTCCTTAAACTTTGGATCCTTGGGCCAAGTGTTAGTGGGCCATTTAAACGCCTTGCGCGTGACGTTGACGAAGCCCGCTTCTTTAAGACGCTTTTCGTGGTTGACGCCTTCGTCGAAGGGACGGCCGAGGGCTAGGGCCCCTTTGGCGGTGAGTTCGTCCCAGCGGTGGAGGGGAGAGTCGGGCTTGAGGGTTCCGTCTTCGGATTTGGCGGGGAATACGGGGTCGATGACTTCGAGCCAGCCTCCGGGCTCCAGGTTGCTGCAGGTCGTTAGTGGGAGTGGATAGGTGAGTTTGGACTGGTATACTCGTAGCATTGGCGGATTAGTTTGTCCCAGTCTGCTATGCTACCGACCATGAGACGGACGAAGATGTAGTCGAAGGGCTTAGTCCAAGTCCATTCCTTTTCGGCGTCGTCGATCTCAAAGGTGCAGTTAGGAGGAACACTGGATAATCATCAGCTAATTTTCCAGCCTCTTGAGATTACTTACAAATCTGGCTGGATAGGAGCAATATCGATGCCAAAGACCTAACTCATTTAATTCATTCCGCAAGTAAAGTTGAATCGATCACTTTACCTCGGCATGAGGATGTTCATCGGCTGTAATGTCAAGGTCAGCTCAGGTAACTCATCCAGTCAGTATTTCTCATACCAAACTCGACAGCCCAAATTCCCGTGCCGGTTCCAATATCAAGGACTCTCTTTGCTCTGTCAGCGTTGGGTGAGAAATATCGCTTTCCGCCGAATGTCAGGAGAAGTTGGTGGTTCTGGAGATCTGTTGCGTCGTCAGCTTCGAATATCGAGGAGGACGCTGGCCGGGTATACCTAAGCGCTCTGACTCGTTCTGGCAGTAGGTTAGTGATAAATTGTGGCGGAAAGGATGGGTAGCTGTACCTGATCACTTGGGAGCCAGTATTCTATGAATGTCGATTAGTATAAGATACGCCAGTAGCTGATTCTTGCTCACTCTCATCTTTATGATATCCGCGACCATTGATCATATGGTACTCGTAAATACTGGAGCGTAAAGACGCGGTCGATAACTCATCGTCGGTCTTCAAAGAGCCATTCAATTAGCTACCATTGCTACCGTGATAAAGCCTGAGAACTTACAACTCCAAGTGCAGAGTCGTCGTCACCCGCTTCCTAGTCATTGACTTTAGCGTTAGCCCGCCTTTCCGTCGCCGCACTTACGAGAACAGCTTCTTCAGGGCTATCAGCATCACGAGGAGGTGACGGCTCTGCAGCTGGTGATGAACTTTTAGACTTGTCATTCGCCATCTTGTACAACTCGGATTTTTTGTTGGTGACAGTCATGCAGGTCGAATGCAATCTTGGGAGTTTTGTGCGGGGTCGTAGGCATTTAAGAGCTGCTGGCTGTTGGTTTACTTTACCCGCTGGTGGTCTGATTTGCGAATGAACCCTGGAGGAACGGGGTATTTACAGGCCAGTGCTGTGCCAGAAAGCAGCATATGTCACTGTATCATGCTTGCGTCACGCAATATTTCAGTGGAATACCCAATTTGAAGGCTTATATCCAAGCTACTGCCATTCGCCGATTGCTTAGAGGTAGTCCTGGCCCTCGAATATCCGAATAATCCATTTCGTTTCTCTGAATCGCATGTCAAGTCCGCCGTGAGGGGCTACCCAAAGATGACAGTTCGTTCGGCAGATGAATGTGAATGGCTGAAGTATACAGAGTGGTGGATCTCTGATGCTTACTGCAAGGTTACATTCGCCAGTTGGATGCTTTTGATTCCGTGGGGGTGGAAATCCTGCATCCGAGAGACAGGGGAGGACCAACAGCTGCAAGCCAGGGAACAGAAACAGGCGGGGTCAAAGCATGATTTATGAAATGACACTGGCGAGTCGTAATACTATCACTATTCAATCGCTATAAGACCCTTGGTCCCGTAAGGTCTGTCTTCTTCTTCATGTATTGATAGGGCATAGCTTGTCGATATGTATTGAGGTGTAATATGTATGCCAGCGATAAGTGATTGCCTGTCCTCCAACACTTCTACCGACCCTCCCTGCCATCTACCCCATTTCCATATCTCCTTCAACGTCTCTGCTCTCTAACTAACTATGGCGATGGCTGTAATCTAAAACGCAACAGCGCGCTTGAATGGCTGACCATTATAATCCTTCTGATCATCAAAGTCCTCAGCATTAACAGCAATGATCTTGACCCCATTCTCATCAAGATAAGGATACTCATTATCCTTCCAAAAGTTGGCAATAGCATTCCCCTTGATCATAATCACATACGCCGTTCCACTAGACTCCCTCGCAAGAGCCTCTCCCATACGAGGAAACAGCTTATCCTGCTCCGGTCCCGGACCACACTCCTCAATCCAGTCAAGGTACTTGTTGTTGTCAAACACTTTGCCCCAGTAGTTGCCGTCTGTGACTTTTTGCTCGGCAAAGGCCTTGGCCTGCTCTTGTTTGGCGCCGGCGGTGTAGAAGATTGTGTTTTCGCCGACGTTGGCGTTGTCGCGGATCCATTGACGGATGGTGTCGACGGAGGGACAGTCGCGGCGGTGGAGGGTGTTTGCTGGGGCTGCGAGGACAGTGGCTGGGGTGATGAAGGCAAGGCCGATCGAGATGATGTTTAAGAGTCTCATTTTGAATGGATTAGGAGTTGGGGCTTGGTAATGTTGGTGTTGTGATATGGAAGGGAGGGAAGAGAGAGGCTATGATACTGTTGGAGTGCTGCCTTGATGTGATGGAGTTGGAATGAAGTGAACTGGAACCGTCTTTATACTATTGCCAAGGGCGCGTCTGGAAATCGAGGAGCCAACAGAGCCTTGTTAGACTGTCTCCGAACGTCCAAGCATTGTACCCAGGTATCATACGGAACTCTCTCGCATCCCTTCAAGTCCCCAGTCTGTTATCAGGCCCCCTATCAATCTGAACACTGCGAACGCAAAAGTACCTCTCAGTCTCGGATCGAGATCCTTCACAACGGACTCGTTGGCCGGCTGAGACATTGGTCACGCTCCCAATGAGTATAGATCAACATAGCCGTCAGCATAAGTGGAATCGCAAAAGGTCAACCTCGGGATGCCAAGGCGGTTGAATAACCGCGGATCCAAGGAGCCAGCCAAACGGAAGACTAATTTAGCACCCGAAGGATGGATGTTAGCTCAGCTATGCCGATCTCTCCATGCCGCCCCCTCAATGGCGGGGTCACAGCCTTGATGACTCGCCGCGAATGACGTCTTTTTTAGGCAATCGATGGCTGCCGAACAGAAATCTCACGTAAGAAGCACACAGCCTCATGTGATGCAGGACGGGATATTGCCACGTATCATGACAAACGAAAATACTCGTCGATCATAAAGAGTTCCGAATCATGAGAAAGGACCCAAACCTTGCAACACACTACACCTTACAACCAAGAACTCATCATTTCACGCCGCAAATATGACAGACTCGCTCAAAGATCAGCTCCTGGCTCTGGCCACAACCGGAGACACCAACAAAATAAGAACCCTCCTCTCAACCAGCGAACAACGCCCATCAAAAGAAACTATCCAAGAGGCGCTCACAACAGCCGTAAAGAACTACCAATACGATGCTGCACGCTTCCTCTTGCTAAGGTCCGGCTCCGCACCTCTTAGCGAGGAAACTGTCCGAGCTGGTGTCAACACCGGCTCCATTCCGCTTATGCAGGCCCTGCTCACCAAGGATCCATCTGCGATCAACATGCAGTTCGACATGCGGGGAACACCCCTCATCGTTGCATGCCAGGGCAGACAGCACATTGACTTTCTACGCTTTCTTCTTGAGGCTGGCGCGGATCCTAATCAGGAGCCTGATGCAGCTGCGTATCCGCTTGCGTTGGTTGCAGGGCTGTACAAGGATACTGCCGCGGTTGATCTGTTGTTGAAGTATGGTGCCAAGATTGAGGGTTCAGGTGCACTTGCTGCTGCGGCTAGGAGGGGTAATGAGGTTATGATGCGGTATCTACTGGAGAAGGGGGCTCGGCCTGAGAGCGATGATACTGCGGTTGGAACTGGTACATCGCCTCTTTGCGTGGCTGTCAAGGCTGGACATGTTGGCGTAGCTAGAATATTGATGCAACATGGAGATGACCCTAGTGCTGTTGACGGTACTGGTACTTCAGCTATCGAGCTTGCTAAGCAACTGCAGCAGGAGGGCAAGGCTACGTCAGAGATGGTGGAGGCTTTGGGGGCCAAGTAGGACGTTAAGCTGTCGACAGAGCAGTCAGAAACAAGCATATACATCCAATAAATGGACACATTTTTCAAGCTCTATAACTGGCTACCTAATTGTCTCACCAAACGAGTGAGACATAACAGTGATGAACGTCATACTGAGGTCTGCACAGCCTGGTAGGTTTCGGCTGTGAGCGCCAAGCAAATATCTGATCCATTCACGCTCGTATCCTAATATGCAGGTCTCAAACGAGTCATTTTTCGACATGCCCATGACTCAGTAATATCAAGGAATCGAGATGGAAGTCTGCAAAGAAACGTATGAGAATCTCACTCACTCCAAAAGCCCTTCCTGCGATGCTAACGCCTGATTTCGATGAGGCTATACGCTTACTAGTGGAGACAAGGCACCAGCGTCTCATTGGCGTATTGCCATAAGACGTGTAGCCCACCCGAAATGCCCGATGATCGTCGTCTTACGCGCCAAAGGATTACGCCGGAGCATTTCGTACGCTTACTGTAGCGGGCCGATCCATCTCCAATGTGACTAAACTTTAACCCCACGGCCGATGAACTTTTGAACTATGCCAGACCCCACACGTGGTGATCAGACACCTAAACGTCACAGCTGATCCTTCTTGTAAGCCGTTGTAAGACATGTGAGTGGATTTTGGGGGCGAGTAGCCTGCTTCGCCTTGGGCATCGTGCTCTTGAGGATCAAGGCTGATGATGATGACATGATCATCGCGTCGGATGGATGTCACGAAAGTCGTCAATGTGTCTCTTGCGGAGAGTAGCTTGTGATGCCTTTGTATCCGTGCATTTGCATGTTGATCAATTGCATCATCTGACAAATGAAGAGATGGGAACAATAAGGTCCATGGAAGTAGTTGGGCAAGAAGTGTGTATAAAGAGGTCAGATCGCCTTGAATAACTATAGTACACAGACCTCATAGACAAAGCATCTTATCCGAATACCTTGAGGACCAGAGCTTTCACATATTATACACCACACGCTATATACTTCAAATTGCACAGACGCCTATAAAAGCAAAGACAATAACTCAACAACCTGTTCACCACAAATCCACTCCGACAATTCATCATGAAGTCCTCAACCATCCTCTCCATCATCTCTCTCCTCGGCCTCGGCCAATCCGCCGCAATCTACATGAGCCGCAACCCCTCTTCCTCCCTTTCAGCCCGCCAAGACCCAGCATGGTCTTTCAGCGTCTATCAAAGCAGCGAGAGATGCACCGGTGCCCGCGACACCTACAGCGGCGACGGAACCCAAGAGTGTACCCAGGGAATCCGCAATGGTTCCTTCGGTTCTTACACAACTGGAGAGATCAGCGACAAGTGCTCGGTGTATATCTACAACAATGATAGCTGTGATGAGGGGGGTATCATTGATATCTTGACGAGTGCGGATCCTGATGGCTGTTTGCAGCCTCAACTTGAAGTCACTGGTGTGGCGAGCTTTAGAGCGCAGTGTGGTTGAGCGTTTAATGTATATACAAGAGGACAGTATCGAGTGTTGCAAACAATGAATCAGGATATTTGGTTGTCATCTTTAGCTTCTCCAAGATGATCCTGTCCTCTAGACAGAGCTCATCTCCAGCGCAATCTATGTCCATCCATTAACTAAAACGGTCCTCAATCGCATCTACAAGGTTCAATGACGCCCCCAACATGTTATACCACGAGCTCCATCTTGTGGCACTGTCTCGCGCAAGCCTACGGTTGTGGCCGATAGCAAGAAACTCGCTGAACAGTCCGTTAGATGTCAACGATGAAGTTGTGAAGCTGCCAAGATGTACCTTCTTTCGCCACGCTTCAAGATGCTTCAGTGTAACGATATGCAGGCCAGCATCGTCGCCGCCGAGCTTCTCATTGTCAGTGATAAAGAAAATGGGCAGACGTGACGGTGGCCAATATTGACGGGTAACCACTAGTAGGCCCAGCCTAACATGCTCCGTACCAATCGTACCTCTGACAGGTCAAAGAAACGCATGGTTGTGTGTTATGTCTAGGTACTCTGTACAGAAATATTAACTAACCTGTTATTGTTTGAGTTTCCGTCATTAGCCTTATACAAAGTCCGTATAGCGGAGAGAAGCCAGAATGCAAGGTCAACCAATTCGGAATCTATCTTAAATTCCTGCAAGCAATCGGTTCAAGGAAGCTTAAGTCCGTCTAAGTCCGTGTGCATACATGGTTCATTGCGGAGAGTCTAACTAGCTTACGGGTTTGAAACTCTAAAAGCTATCCTTTTAAGCAATACACACTTTACTGTCTGGTACGCTAAGGAGATAATCTTCTGGTAGTTAGTGTACAGTTCCATCCTGCGCAATCTGCATCTCCACCAAGTTTGACAGCTTTAGAATGTCCTAACTCCGTCACTTATACATAATGCAGGTCCAAACCCTCAGCTATTACTTGCATACTTAAACCTTAACAGCACCCAATAAAAGCAGCAGTTTTTGAAAGTTAGAAGTAAACTCAATCTCAACTATATCGCCATAAGCCCTCAAGCATCAACAATACTACCAAATTATGGCTGAACAAGACTTTTCTAAGCTGCCACATATTGTGGACAGCGTAGCTAATGTCAAACCTTTTAAAATTGACATCCCCCAGACCGAGATCGAAAGACTTTATACTCTTCTTGACAATTCCCCGATTCCTGACAAAACCTGGGAGAATTCGCACACAGACGGGCATTTTGGTACCAATAGAGATTGGTTAGTGAACGCTGTGAAGGAATGGCGTCACAACTACGATTGGTAAGGAATTCCGATTAAAAAAATGTAATAACTAACCAGATACTCAGGAAGAAATGGGAGAACAAGTTTAATTCCGTCGCACATTACACTGCAGATGTCAAAGACGATGACGGTAATGTTTACACAGTCCACTTCAACGGCCTCTTTTCCAAGCGCAAGGACGCTTTCCCCATTCTCTTCCTCCACGGATGGCCTGGTTCTAGGGTTGAGTTTCTGCCAATGCTCGATCTTATACGGCAGAAGTACACACCCGATAACCTACCATACCACATCATTGTCCCCGATCTGATCGGCTTTGGCTTCTCCTCCAGACCACCGCTAGACAAAGACTTCAAGGTCATAGACAATGCCCGAATCTTCGCCAAGTTCATGCGCGCCTTGGGATTCACGTCGGAGCGTGGTGGATATATGATTCAAGGCGGGGATCTTGGCAGTATCGTCGGTCCCAAAGTGGCTGCGCTCGACCCTGAGACGTGCCGCCTTGTACACACCAATATTCTGATGGTTCCATCACCTGAAGGGACTAATGTTGAGGAGGATATCAAGGCAGGCAGGTATACAGAGGCTGAGATTGACGCTTTGAACCGCGAGAAGGAAATTCTTGGCTGGGGCGTCTCGTATGCGGCGATCCAAGGCACACGATCTGCAACACTTGGCTTGGCTTTTGGAAGCAGCCCTGTTGCCCTGCTCTCTTGGTGAGTTTTCCTTTATATCTATCCAAGACTTGCGGTTTATTAAGATATATCAGGATTGGGGAGAAGTTCTTGGAGTGGCCTGACCCTGCTACCAGACCCTCATTAGAGCTCATCCTTACCAACATCTCCTTCTACTGGTTTTCCCGGTGCTATCCGACTTCGCTCTGGCACTATCGCCTTATGATTTCGGGCATTGAAGGTTTCGGATCACAGTTCGATGGCGTCAAGTGTCCTTTCGGGTACTCACGGTTCAAGCGAGAATGCTGTAACCCTCCAAAGGCTTGGTTAGACAAGCTTGGAAAGATTCAATGGTATAGATCTCATGAACGAGTAAGTTTAAATTATTTTATCACTTTTCTCCTTGCAAGCCTCGAGTTGTCCACTAGCTAACATAGCATTAGGGTGGCCATTTTGCAGCATTGGAGCAACCAGAAGTCCTTTGGGGGGACGTTGAGGATTTCGTCCAGGAGCTTGGCCTCTTGCGGCAGTGAAAATCAGAGAATGAACAATATTCTTTTTGTACAGTCTGTCTTTTTAAATATCTCTTTCCCAGTAAAACCTCTGGCTTAGTGTCGAGGATGTGGACTGCCTAGTTGATCTTGCTATATATTCTAAGCTGTTGTTCATTTACGTCGCTAGTCTCATTGGCTTTCTAAACGACGAAAAGTACTAGCAGGACAGTAATAGAGCAAAGATATTCTGGAATCCAACTTTATTCTCAAAACCCACTGCCATTCTTATTGACACCCAAGGATTACACGGCTGTACCGTCGAACCTCCCGTACCAAGTCGAAGAATGCTGCCTCTACTTTAATACTGGACTTAGCATCTACCTCGACAAATATACAACCGAGTTGATTGGCCAAAGATTCACCTTCCTGCGTTTTGACTTCTCTCAGCGATTCCGGGAAGCACTGAATACCAACTATGATCATCGGGAAGTGATCCTTGTCCTTTAGCTTGAGAATCTGATGATAGTAGGTGGTGATTGCTTCGAAGCTCTGACGGCTCGTGACACTGTAGACTAGCATAAAGCCTTCCACTGTTCTCATATACTGTTGTAACATTGCAGAATACTCTTCTTGCCCAGTTGTGTCAATTACGTCGATGCAAGCAACTTGATTGTCGATGACACATTGTCTACGATATGTGTCTTTCTCAGAGGGGTCAAAATGTTCGGAAAGGTCGGGGTTTACGAACTTGAGCAATTATTAGTCTCACTCAGAACGGCAACAAAGAATCATGCGTCGACTTGCTTGAACAGTGAGATCACTTTTTCCACAACCCACTGCACCCACCAACACAAATGCGTATTGTCTGAAGCGCGCGGGCCGCAAGTAGCGAGAAGGGACTTCGGGTCGATTTTGGTGTTTGACCTCTGTGACTTGATATATCCATTCAAGAGTCCGTTTTTTGGAACTAGGAGTAAAGGAGATGCTGCATGCTTTACTGTTATCTATCCACGTGATTGTGCAGCCATTTACCGTTTCTATCCCTTGGCTGAACCTACAAAAAGTCATCATAATGCACTGATAGCTTGTCTAAATATCAGAAATACTTACTGTACTGGCCATATTTGTTCAATATCCTTCGCAGGAATGATTTGAATAATAGACAGCCGGATTTTCTGGAGTTCCGGGAAAGAAGGCCTCCTATATCCCAGCATACCTCTTCGTCGCCCCTGTGGGAACGATTCCACTGCTTGCAAAATCCCCTTCTCGAAAAGAAAAGGCTGGCTCTGGTAGGGTCAGAGAATCAAAAAGAATGATAAACATAGCTCACAACAATAGTAGCAAGCATACCTTTTCTTGCCTGGCGTCCATTATATCAACTTTGTCAAACATCAAGAGTTTACCAAGTCCCCAAACAACCTTATTTGTCTCGTAATCTTGGCCTTTAGACAGCACGGCTTTAGCACGATTGAGTTCCCAAGCAATGTTGGACTTTTCAACAGCATCCTTGACAGTTTTTAGACTTCTTTGTGCAGATCGTATGTGATAAGGCTCATGGAGCCCATATTGAGCTAGTTCCTACATACAATTAGTGAAAATATGGCTTGGAACATGCTCTCCCACCTGTAGAAAAGCATCATATTGGTCTAGCCGTTGAGAAGGGAGGCCAAGTATCGATAGAACGTCGCCTAATAAGCTCCGAAGCTCATCGTCGTGAATATCGGCCGTTAAGAATGCAGCTCTGACCACTAATTTAAATTCTGCTTCCCCCGTGACGAGGGCGGTATAACAGGCACTTGAATTTATTGCCCATTCCTGGAAGGCCAGCTGCCACTTTTGACATAAGTACGTTTTTGAAACCTGCATTTCTGCTTGTATTAGAAACTTTATTTGAGCATTGACCAGTGGGCCGACGAGCGCAGACAGGGGGTCTAAAGTATCCGTCGGAAGCAAGCGAGATGATCCGATCTTCTGGGAGTTTTCGAAGAGGCTCTCCAGATTCTTGAGATAAAGCCTCTCGTCGCAGAGGAATGCATCCACAGCCAAACCTGCTGGATTGGGCTCCACGGCAAAGATATTGGGTGCAGATTCAAATACAATCCCTTGGATCATACCGGTTTTGGTTAGCATGGCTAGAAGGAGCCGCACTAGGTTGATGGCCTTCTTTTACATTAGGCGTCGGTTTAATTGAAATAGTCTGAGCTATGCGTTACCTTCACATGAGATGTCGTATCGTCGAGTAGAATATCCGTATCGGGAATGCAATGGGATGGTGGGATATCCGAACGTTTCATGCAAGCGTCAACGAACTCGGTTATCGCAGCCTTTGACACCTCGTCAGATAGGCTCGACGAGATCAAGTCTTTCCAGCGTTCGCGATGTGAACTGTCGAGCTGATTGAAGAGCATCAGCAGTGGTGTCCCGAGCCTAAATATGGAGATCAAGTTGGACAGTGGATTTTCGTTATCAGAGGATTTCTGCAGCTGGAATTGTGAGAACCATACAAACTGCGATAACTGAAGTTGCACTTCAATGCAGTCATGGTAGACCGACCTCGTGAGGATAGTTGAAGCAAGTAAGGGTGCAGGCTGGAATGCTTCCTGCCCAAAGTTGTAATGCTCTGGATTCGAGATGTCCTCAACGTACAACGGAAGAGCCAAGACGGAAATGTGAGATATGTCACTCAGACTAATTCCAGACAAGCTAGACCATGCGTGGGTCCGGGCCACGGAGCTGCGTGCTGAAAAGTCCATGGTGTCTCTCTTCGCATGACGGTAAACACGAGATAGTTTGAGGTCGTGCTCAAAGTCAAATTCCAAGAGAGAGGACCGCTGAGATGACGTGCCCTTCCCCTTCTGGGCATCCAGATCTCTCGTGGACTGGATGGTTGCTCGGCGATGCGACATTGTATCTATAGTGTTTTCCATTTCCACCATCCGCCTGGACAGATCAGTGTTACCTCTGAGCAGGTCATCTACTGCTGCAATCAACTGCTGTTGGCTTTCTTCGGCTCTTGCTTGAGAATCACTTTTTTTGTTCAGTCAATTACTTGTACACCTCAACAAAGTATGAATAGGCAACGCACCTCTGGAGAATGCTCAAGATGCAGGTAATAGACAACTTGAATGCCTGCAGTCTGTGAAGTATGGCATTTAAAGAGCTCTTCTTTCTAACCCATTGGATGGGCGTCCACAGGCTTCCACCAGGGCTGCTGAGTTCGAGTGGCGGCAGCGTCTGCAGCACGGCTAACAGCTCGGAAAATATCTTGACCCCATCGAAAAGCACCGCGGTAAGCTGATCCACCTGGATCAGTGATGCGTATCTAACATTAGCGGCGGAGAAGTTGTTGATGAGATGTTCCAGCCCGGTGATGATAGTTTGAATCGCAAGGGCCTCAGAGGAGACTTCAGCCGCAATCTTAGGAGCGTCCTTAGTTGCAGTTGCGTATGGGCTGAGAATCTTTATTACCTCGCCTGCAGCGGTCGCAATCCCCGCTACGGAGGCAATCACGCTCAGTGGATCCATCTCAGGTGCTCGAGTAGAGCGACAGATGGAGCTGATGATGCGAGAGTAAGAATTTGCGATAGGGACAATGCTGGGGGGTTGAAACAATGGAGGCGGCTGTGCAGCTGAAAATCTGCCTTGGTCATCAGCCACACGCCACAGTCATCATCATAAGGCTATGCTTAGGGTTTAAAGAGCAAAGGATTACCCAGCAGCGTGCTCAAACGCTTTGCTGCACTCGCAAACAACGGCTATTCAATAGGTGCACTGTTGAAAAGTATTTTAGATGACTGTATTATATGACACTTTCTGTTATTACGATATCTCGACTACGCGAGGTTGGTGATTACCCATTTGCTGCCTTATCTTACCTGCATGAACGCCACCAACTTGAAGCTCAGCCGCAGCCTGATCGAGAAATGAATATCCCCGCTTCATCTCTGGCCGGCTATGGCTTGTGAGTTATTGTTATCTTTCGTTGTATATATTTCTAGCGAATCTAACTATACAGCAATGCGACCTCTCTATGGCTCTGGATTAGGATGAAAGGAGCTCACAGTTGGCAAGGATACAATATAGGCATGGATATTCGTGCTTTCAATTGAACTTGCCACGTCACTGGACATACGGGACGAAAGGGGTCAAAAATCTGAACTACAACCAAGATAACCCTACTAAAGTTTCAGCGCTGTATATTCTAGATCACGATGATGATAACAGTGTTGTGCTCGCTGGTCTTATGCTATTTTTGAGTTGATAAAACCCACAGCTGATTGCTCGCATCACGCCTTACCCATATCTCCATTATCTATAAGGTTTGATACACCAATATCATATTCACAGTTTCCAAAAGCATTCTTTGAGAGATGCCTTAAGTCATCCCTAAGACCCTGCAGATGTTCTCGACCCTTACATGGGCAAGTCGTTGAAGTATCAAACTCGTCAATGGCTTGCTTTAAAGAACCAAGACTGAAACCATGATATGGGTGGTTTGGGAGTGGCTTTAGGCCACTTTCATAAAGATTTTGGTCAATGTACCCGGCTTGCATGTACAAGCAGTGTCGGCTCCACATTCTCATTTTCGTATCAGTGACACAACGACGGTTCATAACGTCCCAATACTTTTCAATGCCTTCAATCAACATGCAGATCGAAGAAATCCTGGATTGTTCAATGGCAACTGGTGAACTCGTCAGATCTTCCGTCTAATTCATACATCTTTCTTACTAACCAACTGCGTGATAGGGTATGGGCAATCCCAGTGTAGGTATTGGGCCCCGACTCGTGCGGATTGCAACCTCGGTTAATGAACGGAACCTCTTTTTGTCAGAAAACACCCATGAGATTGTCAGCTTCAGTAGCAACTCTCTCGAGTAGAAGGACTCGGTCATCTCCTCGTCAATGTTTGAGATCCATGTTTCTGCCCATAACTCCACTGCCTGGTGGCAACCATAGTAGTCCACTAGCACAGCTATTTTTGCCAATGTCTCAAGTCCTATTGTGCGAGGGACTTCCCGTGTTTTATGATGCAATATTCTCATGAGCAAGAGAAAGGCTTCGCCGTCCCAGTCATTGGCTGTGACTGTCCATTTATATCCAGGCTCAGGTTCTGTTTCTTTCCAATCACCAGATAATGACTTTTGGAAATAGGAAGATGTATTCACCAGAGTTGCAGACGAAACCCTAAATCGCATGGCTAAGGGCTCTGGTTCAGCTTCAGCGAGTGACGATTTATCAGCCACCGTCTTGGATGAAACAATGTGACTCTTCTGTGGAATTATAGAAGATTCGCGGCGTATAGACAATTCTGTCTCGAATTTAGGCAGGGCATTCGGCCATTCCTCTTCGGTATTGCTTGCAGCAAATGGTGCACCAGAATTGTGCAGTATCAAGAGTGTGTCACCACCTTCTTGAACATCGTATACGTGGGAAATGGCCATACTGGGAAGCGCTAGGAGTATTGCCCACCTGTTTGTGAGAAATGAAGCGCACTATAAATCGAATAATGTAATATTGTTGTTGCAGAGTAGACAAATGGTAAGAATGGCATACTTGGTATGCCAGTCCAGTAGGCACTGTTATTACCCCGCACAACAAACCGTGAGAGCACGTGCCTTGAGCTGAAGAAGGCTGCAAAACTTGGTTAATTCAGGGCTCATTGCTGAAAATGAAAGTGCTAGGATGGCGCGTAATCCAGAGATCTTACTCGTCGCGTTTCATCTCACACAGCCTCAAGGCGGAGTGCGGGGCTGACTGGCAGTGTCTGACAAAATATCTCTATTTGACTCACCTCACCTTTCGTCCACATCCTCCTCCTCACGAATGGCCTCGAGTGAGACGCACCGGGCTGTCATAGCTGCTAATCGATGGAAGTGACATTTGGCGCCGTTGGGGATTTCATCTCCATTGGTGTGCTCATCAAGGATTTCATCGAACTGCTTGATGACAGTCGAGGCTCGGCTTGGGAATACAACTCGTTGAAGCAACAACTTACCTTTCTTCGACTGAACTTGGACCTCGCAAAGCGATCCTACGAGGAGTACTACAAGACGCCCCAGTTCGAAGATATTCGGAACACGCTCGAGAGTGTCGTGGATGAGGCAGAGCGACGACTAGAGGACATTGCTGTCAAGGTGCAAAAATATACATCAACACTCTCTGAAGGCTCCACTGAGAGGAGGATAAGAAGGGTTGCAAGAAAAGTCCAATGGAGTCTTGAAAAGAAGGAGACGGAGAAGTTTTTATTGGACCTTCATCGCTACACATCCATCATTCAATCATTGCAGTTCGATGCATTTGCGTGAGTCTCGTTCATCACAACCTAGTCCTTTCGTCTCATGGCTGACCTACTCTTTAAGGCGTTTGATGGAACGCAATTTTGACACTAGTCAGAAAGACCAAAGTGATACCCAACAACTTATGAGCAAGCTGCAAAAGGACTTTGACGATCGATTCACCAGCCTCGAGGACGAACTGAGAGCTGCTAGAGCAATGTCGGCTAATACGCAACAATCTTTAGTTGAAATTGGTATGATTGTTACTAGGCGACTCGATTCAATCACACAAATGGTCAACTCTCTGGGTATCGCTGTACTGCGTGGATTTTCGGGCATGTCTTACCTTGGGACATCGGTCTTGTCTTTATTATCCGCCATGCACACCAACATCCTGGGTCGTCTCGAACGCCCCCCGCATATGGGCCCTTATTTCACATTCGAGGATTATCTGGGTGTTGACTCAATCATATTGCTTAACTTTGTGGATTCTTGGAACGCCTTCGAGGGATCTTTACATGGCAAGTACAAGGGTCGAAAGGGCGGCAGACGAGTGGCCCAGAACCGATTCCTCCTGCAGCATCATCAGACCGGAGAGGAGATCGATCGAGATGCTCATTGGGGCTTGGCTATCACACCTGGGTCTCGGATCAACATGAGCCTCATTTGTGAAGTTAAGGAGGATGAAGATGAAGCGCAATCGCTCAAGTGTCCTTTTCCATCATGCGGAGCAATGTGTGAAGGAGTTATAGGAACTGTGATTCAGTGGTAGGTCCAACACCCTACTGTCACAGCGTCCTAACCTTCCATGCTAACAAAGTTATAGCCCTTCATGTCAGCAACTGTTTCGAAAGCTACCAGGCATGTCTGACGACGAAGACCTTCCAGCAGCGCCCAAGGCTCCCGATTCGGGAATTAGTGATCCAAGCTTGAACCTGGGAAGTAACTCGTCTGATCGTGGTCAATCTCGCAAGAGAAAGGGAACCCATCTAGACAAAAGAAGAGCGCTACGGGCCAAAAGGAAGCCAACAGACGCGCGTAATACAGGTTCTGACTCGGATGACGCCGACTTGGCAGGGATCAAGCGAGTGACTGTATTACCAATATTGCGCCTTGCTATACGACCAATTCCACCACCTTCAGAGACAGAGCAAAAGTTCGAGGTCTCAGAACGACTGATGGCTCCCGAAAAAGAGGAAAAGAGCCGCAGTTCGGATAGTGTTAACGAGAATGCCAGCGTTGATACATCATCGAGGACCATCGAGTCACAGCCCGGGGGCAAGAATAAAAGAGTGTTGGAACTACAATCTGAGTCTTATGTAGAACAACTCGTATCTGGAACTGCCTACATGAGCGACATGCTGTACCAGAAGAGTGGCGACCACAACGACTATCCGTATGATAAGATTCCTGGGCCAGGCGCCTATGTTTTCGATAGCGTGCTGCCGGGTGGTTTCACGTCCAAAGATCCTCGACGAAAGTACGCAGCCACACGTGTCCCGCAAAGGCCCTCAACACTCCGGGGTACAGGATATAAGAAGGAGAAGAACCCTGCGAAAAGGAAAAGGCCAGAGATCAGGAAGGCAACAGAAGCAGATGCAAAGAGACATAAAATCCCCGCTGGATATTCCGTGAAGCACTGGGATCCAGATGAAGAACCAATCATACTCCTCGGTAGCGTTTTCGACGCCAATTCCTTTGGAAAATGGCTTTATGACTGGACTGTATACGCTCATGGACCTGCGACGCCGATGTCGGACACGGCGGGAGAATTCTGGCTGCTTCTTATTCAATTGTCTGGCAGAATAAAGATAGCGGAGCACACAGTAGAAAGAGTCAAGTCAGTGGACTCTAAGGAGTTGCTAGAGGATTGTATCGACGCAGGGGAGAGGTTATGGACGAAACTGGTGTCGCTGCTCAAGAGGTGCGAGGTTCCCATGTTGAAAGCATACAAACTCAAAGAAAGGAAACACAAAAACACTCTTCATAATCAGGGCGGCAATGAAGAGAAAACGTCACAGCGGGTGAAAACCGAATCCGATGGCTTGGACAAGGAACTGAAAGAAACGTCAGTGCCTAGCGAAGGAGGCAATATCGAAGAGGCGGAAAAAATGAGGCAGACTTTCGATAAGAACGCTGGTGTTGCATTCGTTGAGGCGATTTTTGGCGAAGGCAAGGAGTTGAAACACACTAAGCGGTTGATGCAGAACCTGCGACTTTATAACATCAGATTCGACGCAAATTGTGAGAATATAGTAAGACACCCTGAGCTACAGAGCTGAAGCTTAGTTATTCATAAATGCTACCCAGCTATGAAACAAAGACATTCGCCGTGACATATGCTTCCTTTGTCTGTATATAGAATCCACATAGTGTACGGAGTACAGAAGACTTCACCAGACATCATACCATAAACCGAGGCAATTAAAACATTCACATGCCATTCCGATTGGCTACAGGATCAAAACAAAACAACAGTGCCGAAGGCCGAATCCACGAGACCCGGGGACCCCAGATTCTCCAGAACAATCCTACGCGCACCAATCACATCAAACCTCGCTAGTCAATGTAAGGGGAGCGCCCCGGACCTAGCCCTTAGCGCGTGGAGCTTCCACCGGCACATGACGCGGGGAAACACTCTTGCGCGAGGTGTCAATTGGTGCGCTACCTTGCAGACCCAGGAACATGACGATTTAGGTGAGTCGGACGAGTTTAGAAGAGGGTAATTGGCGCGTCAAGATAAAAGCTTCAAAATTAGCTGGACTTGTTTAGGTTCGGGCTGAACGGTGACATCGGGGTAGCTTAGAGTTTAGAGCACTTTTGGAAATGCAACGTCGGATGGGGAAATGATATGTTGTCATGATGCCAAGATATTTAAACAGACATTCGTCCGCTCTCTTGATCTTTCAGCAGATCATTTCACCCATACATTTCACACCATTTTCTTCATCATGCTTGGCATCAAGGCTTCCCTGTTATTATCGTGCTTGGCTCTGCTCAGCCCTGCATCATGTAGAGCCATTGAGGAGCGAGCCGTTGCAGATCATGCCGTTACCTTCCAGACCATTTATAAGCCTCCCTCCAACTACAACACTCCCAAGACCTTGTACGGACGAAACGTCCAGCTTGCTGATGGAACTATCCTAGCTACTTGGTCAGTCATCCGGATCATCCGGTATGCTATTTACTAACGTGGAACAGGGAGAACTATAGTCCTGAACCACCAAAGGTGTACTTCCCCATCTACCAGAGCAAAGACAAGGGCTCAACCTGGGCACCTCTGTCCAATGTGACAGACACCAAGAACGGCTGGGGTCTTCGCTACCAGCCCTTCCTATACGTCCTACCCCAAGCCATCGGCAACCTCGCCAAGGGAACTATCCTCCTTGCTGGAAATAGCATCCCCACTGATCTCAGCAAGACAAAGATCGATCTCTACGCTTCTACCGACAGCGGCAAGACGTGGAAGTACATCTCCAACATCGCCACCGGAGGAAAAGCCGTTCCCAACAACGGCGAGACTCCTGTCTGGGAGCCTTTCCTGATGGTGTATAACAACAAGCTCGTGTGCTACTACTCTGATCAGCGCGATCCCTCGTATGGTCAGAAGTTGGTGCATCAGACTTCCAGCGATGGTGTTACCTGGGATGCTGTCGTCAACGATGTTCGAGGAACTGCTTACTCTCAACGTCCCGGCATGACAACCGTCGCTAAGCTTCCCAACGGAAAGTGGATGATGACCTTTGAGTACGGTGGAGGCGCTTCACCCAACAACGCAGCTTTCCCCGTTTACTACCGCATCTCCGACTCTCCTCTCACCTTTGACAGTGCGTCCAACCAGATTCTCACCGCTGGTAGCCGTGCGCCTAGCTCTTCGCCTTATCTGACCTGGTCACCTTCTGGAGGATCTAGTGGATCTCTGATTGTTACTGCCAACAGTGACAATGGCATTTACATCAACACTAACCTCGGCGCTGCTGGCTCTTGGGTTTACTATGACATTCCTCAGCCTGGTGCTTATTCCCGACAGGCCATGGTTATGGATAACCCTGATTGGCTGTATGTGATGAGTGCTGGATACCTCAATGGAGATAACTGGGTCACCGACAGTGTCTTCAAGCTTCCCAACCTGTCTTAGATATGCTGGTTCTAGTTATGTTCTCTCCGGGGCCACGGCGGGTTAGACAGAAGTTATAGATAGTCAATCGACGAATGATGAAGAATTGTCCCTCACCGTGAAAAGTATTGCCGTTCTTGCAGTCCTACTGCAGTTTTTTCTTCCAAAGATAGCGTCTTGGCATTAGTCAATCCATGGCCTGACTTTACAACCAACAGCATAAACAAAATTAAATCATCGCTAACCTTTCCTAAAAAGAAGCATAAACTCTCCACTTTGCGGACAGTTCGGCGATAATCTAGGCAGAAGCTGGCTCCATCAAACTGAACCAACAGCCGTGAACCAACATGTTCAAATAATAAAATTGCATGGACTTCCGCCTTTTGGTATTCTCGTGATTTCCTTCTCTTCTTTTATCAACGTCCCCATTCACCTTCGACATGAGGGTCATCACCTCCGCGAAAGGCCTGATCCGGGTCGTTTGGGCCTACGTCAAATCAGCATGCCATTCCATAAAGAGTATCGTGTTGATGTTGCTCCCTTTCTACAGCCTCACAATAATACTCGGCATCTATCAAGGCATCATCATCGGCCTGTGGTATTCCGAGTCCAAAGAACAAACCGCCCGATTCCTCTTGAAAAATGTGCTCGAGTACAAGATCACGGAGTATTTCGATGAGCCTTACGATAATTGGGCGAATGTCGCACCTGTATTTCATGTACCACAAATCGTTAATCCTCTCAAATGGACGGATCAACTAGGACTTAAGAGACCTACAGTTACGGGCTTTGGGGACGAGTACGAGCTGGCAGGTCTGGGACACTTATATCGAAGAACGCGTCGTTTTCCAGAGAAACAGCAGTGGCATCATTGGATCTATATGTCGGCGCAGCAAGAGCCTTGGAGACAGCCCGACGGCCCGATCTTGCATGATCCTTGGGACAAAGCATTTGTGGATCTCTTGGAGTACAGGGATAAACATGATACCATGGGGCGGTCAAACTTCCTTTATATATCATGCCAAAAGAGCTTCCTCTGCGGATCCTGGCGCGTTGCGGCCCCAGCACTGCTGCACTTCACCACAGAGGGGAACAGAAGCCGGTTAACCGGTGACTCACCTGATCTCCCGAATTACACACGTGTAAACACGCGAGTGTTCGAACTACCCCTTCACCAAACAGCCATACCAGGTGTCTTCCCAAGCCACTTTGAACAATTGAGATGTCTAACAGCAAGCAACTCAACCTTCTGGCAATCAAAAGGTACATATTCGCATTTTGATCAGGTGTTAGCCCAAACAGACCCAGTGTTGAAGGATGCAATAACGGCATATCCATGGACCTATGGCTTGCTAGTCAAGGCGGAACACAAATGGCTTCGCTTATGGGGAATTGAGAATACAGAGTTGCGAGGATATATCTTTTTACTTTCTTTTACATTATCTACATTCCCAACGTTCCTTTACAAGTTTACCCCTACAAATTGGGCTAGCCCGGGTCCTGGGCCTGAGCATAAGAGCAAAGATCCACTAGCGCGAACGCTGCAGAGCTTGGTGGATATGCTAAGTGCGGAGGAAAAAGAGAGGTTCAGAAAGACAGATCGTGGAGGGAGAATATTAGGATTGGCGGAGAAGGGCCTTGAAAAGGAATATTGGAATACTAGGGAAGATGTTCTCAAGGACGTTGCCAATGCCTTGGGACTAGATAGAGATGGAAAGACCAAGGGTCCGCGATAAAGGACAAAGCTTGACTTTTACCTTTGGGCATATTAGACAGTAGCAGCAAAGTAATAAAGTGCAATAGACCGCGAATACTCGCATTTGGTAGGATTCTACAGTAAATATAGAATTACTTGGAGAACTAGTAAATGGCTATTCAATCTGGTATAGTAATAGTATCCCTCCACCGTCGCATCATCCTTGAAGTCCCTCCCTATTTGAACTTTCCCTGCCGCATGGCTACCGTGTACATAGTTGACTACGAATTCCCCGAAGAGCCTTTCAACATTTGGATAGTCTTCCCAAGTGCCTCCAAGCCTTCTTGCTTCTCTTTGATCTCTTTTTCCATCTTCTTATACTTTTTAACCATCTCTGCAAGGAGGAAATCGTCATTTGACACTTCGTCATCTTCAGCCCTTGGTCTCTTCTTCACGCCATTGGCGCTGATGCCTTCATCTGGTCCGACGTCTTGGCGTTGCTGAATGCTAGCTGAGGCTGGAGTTGATGCTGATGCTGATGCTGGCCTTGGACAAGATTGATCGCCGCGTCGGCTAAGGTCTTCCTGGTTAAGCTTACAGCTCTCCAGGTGTCTTTTTAGATGTGCCCTCCGCTTGAAAGGCTTCCCATTGGACCTCTTGCAGCCAGTATTGGGACATAGCAATGACTCCTCCAAGCTTGATGCATCTTTATGTTTCTCTGTTCGATGTCGGCTCAAGGTAAATTGCCTTGCAAATGTCTGTTGGCATTCTGGACACACAAAGCGACTGTTTGTTTCCTCTGCCCTGCTGCATCTATTTAGAACAAGTTTTCTTATTTAGTGAACATTGTACTCACTCATCCGAGTTGATCGTTCGCTGACGATAGCCGCTGCTGTCGGCACTACCCGTGCCATCTGTCTCTACGCTATTGTCGGTATTGATGCACGCCGTATGAGTTGGGTCTTTTATGGCGGCCGCTGGTAAAGTTTCTGCCGTATCCTGCGCCGCCAGTTCCAAATCTCCACGGGACGTCATGTCCGGAATCAGAAAGTTTGGATCCTGAGGGGTGTTTTGGGCAAATGTCAATGCGTGGATCAGGTCATTCATTAACTGAACGTCTCCAGGCCAAAGCTCTTCCAGGGTATCCTGACTGAGATATCCTCTGTTGTCGAAGTCATCTACCACCGATCCTTGAAGTCCCTCTGTTACATGGTTAGAAAAGCTTTCACAAAGTCTGTGAGGACATTACCTTCAATTCCGATACTATAGAAGTCGGCGTACAAGTCATGGGCAGCTGGCACGGGCGAGATCATGGAGTCACCAGCACAGCCCCATCCATGCTGGCTAGAATCGATAGTGAACATCCAACAGACACCCCATCGTATCAACAGTGCTGGTAGAATTGTCCACGGCATTAGTATACAAGTGTGTCTAACGTTATTGGGAAACTCGAAGATGGGCTCAGCAAGACCTTGCTCCTCCGTCACAACTTTTTTGCGGCCTAGGCCCTCGTATTTCCGCCTAAACCATACTTTCAATCTTTCAAATATGGCTTGACTCTTCCGGAGCGTGTACATAAAGGCCATTTCTTCGTGAGAAAAGAGCAAGCCAGTCTTCCCAAGTATTTCAATGAGTGAAGAAGACAGTTTCATGACCTCTAGCCATTGCCTTGCCGATTCCAAGTCCTGCCCACGCTTCAGAAGGTAAAGCAGACAATTGCTAAACCGCCGCAAAGTTCTCGATTCAAGGGAATGATTATGCGCGATCTTTCTGAAGTGGCGCAGTTGCGGGCTAAGTGAGGAAGAGGCGTCAGGGAGCTCATCATGTTCGCGCAAGAGCGTACGATGGATAGTCTGGAGGGCCACCCACTGCTCGGGCCCGGAATCCGTACTTCTTTGACTGTTGCTAGACTGGTCTTGGTCGATTTCGGTGCATGTTTCTCCTATCTTTATCAGGCGTCCATGGACAGTTTTGACTTCAGACACAAGAGAAGGACGATTGGCAGCTCCAGGCTTGATCTCTAGCCGTCGAGCTTGTATCTCCCTTGACCCCTCTCTGATAACTTCCAAGGATCCAGGATAAGCAACGGGGAACTCCGGTCTCAGAGTGAAACGATTCCATATTGAAAGAAGGGATTCCATCAAAGGAACGCGTGAGGGCGAAGAAAGTAACACTGAGGATAAAAAGAAAGGATTTGTGGTTCTGCAAGGTATTGAAGTATGTGATAGTGGAAGCTAAATTGACCTTTCATTTGTCGTGATTTATATTCAGGATGAGTTTGGGGTGAGCCTGAAATGAACTTCTGTGCAGAATATAAGGTGCAGTTTTGGGGTGCAGCGGGGTAAGTTTTGGGGTGCGAAGTGGCGTAATGCGAACCAGTTGCCTAGGACTTGGAGCCAATAAGAAGATCCAAAACAGCCTCGTCATCTGATGTAACTTGAAACTTGAACTGTCACCTAAACAGAGAACCAGGCTTGGCTTTCGTATTTTGGGGATTCATCTGGGAAGAAATTGAAATGATTATACGGGTGAAATGATGGCGCACCTCAAAAGTTCATGTCGAAACCCAGACCTGCATGTAAATGTTATATAATAAGATCATTCGAATAGCCACGTTCAAAATGGAATATTGCCAAAAGAAACAGGTGCAGCTTGGCCCCAATCCTCATTTTGACAACCGCCATTATGGACAAATCACCAGAGAATTCCTTTCCAGCCCAAAGCCCGCAGTAAGCCATTGTGATTAATTTTTCTCAATAGACGCATCTAACAAATGACTAAGAAAATTACTTCAGAAGGTTATATCCAAAGGTCAAACCGCTCCGACACTTGCAGCTTTCTTATACGACTGTAACAACTGGTCCGACCGACTTGTGCAGCTTCAAAGCCCCAGGACACAAGTTCAGTCACCTGCAAGTAAGCAGACATAAAAAGGGTCCAAGCTTTGATTGTATTTCTATTCCTCAATTTGGTTCGTAATATGAGAAAAGACTTTCGCTGAAAACTATTGACAAGTTGATAGGCTTGATCTTCATTTTCATGGGCAACCTCCAGCGTCTTGGCGGCAAGGGACGGGCACATGTAGCGTCATTGTCTAAGAGCTTCATGGTACGGCGTAGGTTGGGGCTAAATGAAGATAAGGAATTTAAGGGTCGGTTATAGAACATGTACTCACAATTCTTTAGCGAATCAGAATACATAAACACTACTAACAGAGTAAAGAAGTAAATCAATTGCTGCTCTTGCTCCTCTAGGTTAACTGTCTAGTGTTCCCTTTTCGGAAGTTGTGATGAGAAGACCCACATAAGCTTGAGGTTATACTGATTTAAGAAGTTACCGGGAGAGACCACGATTCAACTTCTCAATTTGGTAGCTAATGCGAGAAAGCCTAAGCTTAGGGACTGGACTGCAAGCAAGTATTAAAAGGCATAGCACTCGGCACCGCAATTCTTGAAATCTCTCTCCCAATTGTATGTCACTGACCCTCTCCTATTACTTAATCATTTAGCGCAGACATGTGCCGTTCCTCAAACTATCCCACTGAGGCTGGAACCGCAGTCTCGACATTGCATGCCAATGACCCCGGAACAACCCCAGAGACCATCATCAATGCTCTAGAGAGAGACGGCGCCTTGATCATCAAAGGCATAGCCTCCAAGTCTCTATGCGAACAGATCCGAAGTGATCTCAAACCCCTCTTTGACTCAGATGTCAAAGATGAGTCCGGCTTCTTTCCGCCCACCACCAAGCGAGCAACCGGTTTCTTCGCTACATCAGACGCATGTGTCGAACTAGCCCTCAACCCTCTGTTCCAATCCGTGGCTGAAAGAGTCCTAGGCAGTAAGTATACGTATTGGGAAGGTCAAGAGCAATTGACGGTTTTCGGAAAGCCGTACATTGCTAGTGCTGTTGGGTTTCGCGTTGAGCCCGGTGGTAAGCAGCAGGCTCTTCATAGGGATGATTCGGATTATCACCCTCGGAACTGCGATATGCCTGTGATGCTCGGTTGTGTGACGGTATGCCCATTCTCTTCCTTGATCTGGTTGATCATCTAACGTCGCCAGGCTTTGACCAAGACAACAAAGGAAAACGGTGCGACTATCGTCATTCCAAAGAGCCATCTCTGGGGCCCTGATAGATGCCCACTCGACGAGGAGGCTATCCCCGGAGAGCTGGAAATTGGCGATGCCATGCTCTTCCTGGGCAATGTTTATCATGCAGGTGGAGCCAACATCACCAAGTAAGCCTGCTGCAAAGTTTCTCGTATTATCCAAGCTAACATTGAAAGGGACGACGCCCGAGAAACGATCGGTATGTTCATGTGCAAGGGAACACTGAGGCAGGAAGAAAACCAGTATCTGAGCATTCCCCCAGAGGTTGCAAAAGCTCGGAGCTTTCCGCCCAATATGCTTAGACTGTTGGGGTATGGCATGTGTCCGCCGGCTTTGGGCTACTACCAGTATCAAGATCCGATGAAAGTTATCTTTGGAATTGAGGATGAAGAGACTGTTAAAAAGTAGATAGTTCGACCCTTAAACAGCTAGGATTCTTCTACCGTGGTCTCCCCATTGCTTCGCTAGTATGCGCCAATCTGAATCTCCACTGACCCAGAATGTCTCTAGAAAAGTGAGAACGTCTCCATGGTGTTTAAAGCCTGTGACCTCGGACAAGCTCTTGTATAGGTCTCTCACGATGAGTTGTTGGTCGTCAACTCCGTAGGACTCTGTCCCGGCAATGAAGATTGGCCATGCGAGGTTATGGATACATCCATGTAGATTCTTCATACCTCTCAGTAGTCGAAACAAGTCTGAGAGACAAACTGTTTCTTCCGGGCCATATTGATGACCAAGGCATCGTGCAGCGTATAACAGCGCAGCATTGTGGTAGGCATCAACAAGCCGTATAAAGTCCCCCCGATCAGCACTCGAGCATATCCCGCTGCTGCCAACTTCCATCAACGTCTCCCCTCGTGCTTGGATAAACTCCGCCCTCCAATCGCGAGTTGAGTCCCCAGCCGAACATTCTCGAGATATGAGCGTCGCATCATGAAGTAGTAGTAGATACGCAGAGAATGACCGATCATCACCATACTCAACGGGCCTAATCGCATCCTGCACATCTGTCGCATCAAGGATAGTAGTACTTGCGAAGATATCATACATAGAAAGCTGATTCTGCAAAAAGCCGAAAAGGCTACTCTTTGGAAAGTCTAGGGTGGATAAAGTGTTGACTAGCGCACGCGCCGCCTTTCGATGGAAGTCAGCAGCATCTGCACCGCCATTATGAGCTAGCTCGTAGGATGACAGGACCATCATTGACGAAAGCATCCATTCTGCTGTATCGGCTGTCACTGTAAGCTGGGGATGCGCGGTCATGTCGTCAACGCCACGCATAATCATTGATAAGACATGGTCTCTATCCTTCTCATACACAGTTGATGGCGTGAAGTTCCTTGATGCATGTTGAGCTGAGACTGCGCAAATAGCGAGACGCACTGCTTCGTTTGTCTGAGCCAAATGTAGAACCTTTTGGCGATAGTAGTTCTTCTCGGAGTCGAACCAGACCATCAACCCAGCAATGTGCTTGTCATAATAGTCTAATAGCTGTTGGGTGTTGCTGTCGATATTTGGCGAGGAGGTCAATACTGGAGGCCCAGGGACAGGAAATTGGACTCCCCGAAGATGACCGCGAAGAGCCACGCCCTGAACCCATCGAAGTCTCGGACCGTACCCAGGACAAGTAAATCCTCTGCCGAGACATTTCTGACAGCTCGGTTGGCCGAGATCACAGATGATCCTTCGCTTGGAGCAAATCGAGCAACCTAGGATGGGACGAGTGAGTAAAGGCTATGTTTGCAGTAAAACCTGAACTTACCTTTGTCCTTCCGCTGTGGCATTATGTGTTTCTCTTTTTAGATGTCGTTGGCGATCGAAGGCGTAGTGGCTAAAATCCGAATACCCCGCAGCTATATCACGTGCTTCCGCTTTCTTGAATTGCTACGTTCTTCAGTATATTTACATTTAGTGACTAACTGGGCTAACATATTCTTCCTATTTATTTCTCAAGTAAATAATCTCGTTTGGTCTTCCTCGAAATTACCTTAGCTTAATAACTCCCTTTCTGGCCCCACCAGCCCCAACTTAGCCATCGCCTCAGTTATCATGGAACCTGCATTAAGGTCTTCCAGCCGTGCCTTTAGATCTGTCATTCTCTCCTTCCTACTCTCCTCTGCATCCTGTTCATCGTCTCTCTTCTCTTCCCGTGGCCGTAAGCTCCTATACTGGTCTATATCATCCATCACCTTAGTCGATAAATGCTCGCAAGACCTTTCGAGAAAGGATAATCTCAAGTCGACCTTCTTAAGATCTTCTTCGAATGCTTCCAGTGCGTATATATACGTAAAGGCGTAAATCATCTCCATCTCAAACTTGAAGACTTCATCACCATTGACACCTACTGGCTTTTAATGAGCCTGGCAAAGCAAGGGAATACACTTGGAAAATTTCCCAGCGAAGAGGTAGACCTGACTTGCTAGTCTGAAAGGCCATGAAGGGTCTTCTGAAGACATATCCGAAAAGATACGTGACACTGCGTCGGATGACACTATATCTGCTGCTTCGATGTTACCTTGCTTGAAGAAGAAACGCCCTAGCATCATGTATCCCTCAAGGGCGTTGAATAGCCCATCATCGAGGTGGAGGCATGTGTCGATGTACTTGAGCTTGAGTAAATGTATTCTCCTACTGAAAGCTGGAAGATCCTCGTCTACTGACCATAGTCGTTGCCCAAACCAATCCATTTTTCCATCCGCGTCCTGTATGCCTTGTGCGGTCATTAATAACGAATGACAGCGGAGGAACTCCGGATAGTCATGGTCTATACAACCGATAGCCTACAGCTTAGAAACAAGCGACTCGATGGCTCCAAAATCCAAGTCTTTGTCGTCTTGGAAGTGGGTGATTCTTCTCATCTCTAGTAGCTCATTGGCAATGACCTGGGAACGCCTATAACGCCCCAAAAGCGCCAAATCCTCCATCATAAAGAAGAACCAATTTTGGCCTTTTTGGTGCGGCTCACCGGGGCCAAGAAGCATTATTTCGTCTGCCGCCTTGGAAAACCATGTGTCGGCCTCTGTTATATTTCCTTGCTCGATGACACAACGGGCTATCAAGATTTGGGTTTTCCATCGGGCATCTGTGACCACGGGCTCTGATTCGAGCTTTCTTAAGAAGACTAGTAGTTGCTGGCAGCTAGCGATGCATTTTTCCAAGTTGCAAGCCCTGTACAGGGCGTCTCGATGGATACCTAGCAAACTCAGATCTCGGAGTCTCGGTTTTGATCCTGAGTCTGCAAGAATATCTATGGCCTGAGCAGCAAAGTCTGCGGAGACTCTGTAACTGCCGCTAAAGAGGAGACTTCTAGCCATATATTCCAGACCTTCTTTCCTATGCGCTGTTCCGAATCGAGTATGGCAAAGGCCGTACTCCCATATACGGCTACTGGATTTCTTGCGATCCCTTCCGATAAGATCTTCATACATGCGGATGAACTCATTCGCTTCTTGTTCCCTTTCCTTCTTCAGCAGTACAAGTATCAGTATTTGGAGGGCCTCCACCTTCAGCATCAGTATATGGGGCTGAGTGGGGAGGCGGTTTGCAATTTGGACTGACTTTCGCAGCATCTCCACGTTTGTTTCACTGGTATCCCGTTTTGCGTGGAATCTTACAGCTGCAAGTAATAGCAAGCTGCAAAACTCAAAGACGTCACCTCTTCCTTTTGTCTTCTTAACAGAGATAACCGCCATCTTCTCTGCGAGCATCGAATTCCCCTTTTGTCTCGCAACATTGGCTGCAAGGAAAAGGATCGGGACCGGCATGGACTCTGCTGACGAAGCTAGGAGGTCTGTGCCTGGACTTCTGAATGTCGCAAATATCTGGGAAAGAGCCTGAAGAGTTCCAGATACACGTTGTACGGCAGGACCATGGGTGCTTGCGATATGTTGAGGCAACATAGAAATTGCATTACCTCTCGTCACCGTCAGCACGCTTCTATCGTTGCGCGCAGGCCTTGTGAACGGCCGGGCCTGTTGTTCAGCCAGTTTCCGGGCATTTGCTGGAATGAGAAAGGCTAAAGCGAGCCATGATTGGTAGCGTTCATCTTGAACGCCCAACTCTCTTTCTCAGCGGTCTAATTCGAGATGGAAAGCTCGGTCTAGTTCCATCCACGTCCAGGCAAATATCTCACCCCAATAGTACATAGAACCAAGGAAGTCGTTGGGCGGGGAGCTCTGACTCGTAGCCAGAAGGTATTCAATCAAGGCGCAGAATTGATGTGTTTTCATAAATTTAGATGTTTCTATTCTGACTTGATGATTCTCCTGTAGCGCTTCAGCTAAATGAAATGGAAGGCATCTTGCAACGTAGGAAAAGAAGGCGTATCTTGACGACAGAGATGATGCCCCGCCATCTGTTAATGGGTACCCAAGGTCTATAGACTTGATGTACTTGAAGCAAGCCAAGGACATGGATTTGTGAGCTTCCGCGAGGTCGACATGGAAATATGAAATATCCGTGTCTTCAGGTTCCCATTCGCCTTTCGGTCGCACGAGAAAGTCGGATGCCGATGCATGGATGAGATGATAGCGACCTTCTGTGGCCCTAACAAAATCGCCACAGGCATCCATAATACCTTCAATGGTGATGAGGTCATTCTCGATTGTGCCATTCACGCTGACCTGTGTGGCATATGCATAGCATAGGTCTTCGCCCGTCATAGGCTCAGGACATGCTAGTATGGAAGACAAGACATATCTCGCTCGCTTCATCGATATCGAAGGTTTTGCTACTGATCCTCGGGTGCGAGTCATGAGTTGCAACAGTAGTCGGTGATATTCGCGGTCGAGGTCGTGGGGAACTTGCTGAAGCGTTTGTCTAACATCCTCAACACCGGAGCAACGCCTCAGCTCTTTCAAGACTAGTCTAACCCAGAGAAACATTACTTGAGTCTTGGCTTCTAGATTCTTCTGGGCCTCGTCTCGGAAGACAGGTGAATAGCTTTCGAGTGAATCGTGTATCTCGACTGCAATTAGCTTGGCTATGTCGTCTCGTATGAGACTTTCTGTAATCTCCAGTCTTGGCAAGGCTCTATTCAGAAACGTTCTTAATGAGTGTTGTCGGCCAGCCAGGAGCGGGCGAAGGTTACTGTGATCTTTGACCAGGTCCAGAATAGTCGAAAGACGCCCATATGTTTCACTGTTCCAGTCCTCTGTCGATTCATCGATGCCGTCGATGGTGCAGTATACCTTCTTGCTGATACCAGACAAAGCGATGCGCAATGCCTCGACAAGGCTGCTCTTGTCGATGCCATCACTCCGAGCCAATAGCTGGGATACTTTCTCAAGATCGACATGTTTGATGTGCCTGAGTATCTGCCATACCAGGGTTCTCAGCAGGTCTTCTAGCCTTCGTTGGTTCTCATTACCGGACCAGAACGAAAAACGGAGAGCGATCTGGCCTTGTTCTCCAAGTTTCTGGGCAATAGACTTGATGAGGACAGACTTCCCGCAACCTTCATACTATAGATACAAAGATTCCGCTTGAGATAGGGATCTGGTATAGTTGGAGAGCTTTGGGCCCAATCGGAGAACGTCGATTGTGACCAGATCCATTCGCAGGTCCCAGGTGTTTTGTCAGGAATAAAGTTGTCGCTACAAGGATGCAAATCGGCTCGCAAACGAGCAGTGACGGTTTCATGTAATACATCTAAAATATTTAGAGCTATGTATTGATCTCTTGCTTGGCATCGCACCTTTCGTGATTTATTGTTGAATGTTTATCATAATTAATACGAGCTCTGTTTGAATCTGGCTTAGACGAGTCAACCACTGATTGAGTGTTTTTTCGAGTTCAGTCAAGACAAGACAAAACTTCTTCAGAGACCTGCGCGTGTCTCTTTTGATGCTGACGGCTGGAGCACAAGCTTGAGGGAGGCTAGCTCTGTCGTCCAGTGTTTGATGGTTGATTTGTGCTGTTCGAATTGCGGTTTATCCCATAAGCCTTGTTCCTTTCCGCGTTCGAGGATTTGCTGGATATTTCGAAGGCTTTGAATCGGGTTCTGGGCTACCTTTGGTGCAACGTCTTTCTTCGATACCCCGCGGATAGCCGTAATCACTGCCTGGATAATCTGGACAAGACCTGGAACAGCCGCGACGACGCCAACAACTTCCATGATCAGCGCTACCTTTCAGTTATAGCCGTAGTAATAAAAGTTTGCAGAACATTAGAACCTAGAGTTGATTATCATGACGTAAGGAAGTAGTACGTGTTGTTGTAAGAGAGGAAATCATTCATGCCCAACAATTACAAATATGCCATCACTCATTTAGGGGCTGTCCTCAAGGGGCAAGAAAACACCGAACCTTGATATAGGGTGTTAAAATAAACTTAGCAAAAGCTCCCCTAAACTTAGCCTAAATTTACTTAATATTTTTATCACTTAGGGTCAAGGTCCTGAGTTTTATTTCCTCCCCTAGGCTGTGTCTACAGTCTTACACACCCCGGCATCCAATCCGTTCAAACCTGCATAATCGGGCTGAAAGCAAGGGCCTCATTGGCGAATACGTGTCGCGTTGATGACAGACTCTCGCCAATGAAACAACGAGGCTTCTTATTGCTGCAAGGTTGCTGTAGCTGTGAGCTCCAAATGTCGATGCGCTTAGGTAGGCCTGGGGGTGTCAGAAGACGCCTGACGTAAAGAGCTGATTTTGTATGGCGAATGGGCATCCCCCCGCCGTACATTTTTTGACGCAGCAGGCTACGGCTGGCATACGAGCCTTAGCCTCTAATAAGCATGTCTCGCTGACCCTTTATGGAGTCAAGCAGACAGGCAGAAAATCAGGATGTAGCTTGAACGTAGTTTACTATGTGTCCTCTCATTGACATACTGCAACCCTTGACTATTATCTACCAGTAGCTACTAGTGTGAGGAATTATTCAGCGCCTCACACGAGGCAACACAAGACGTCCATGAGAGAATATAACATTTTCCCCTTCAAATCTTGCCGCAATCCTATCACCTCCTTCGTGACGCATTGGCGGGATCGTGCTTGGCGTATTAACCGCCCCTATCTCGAGTGAAAGCGTTTGACCTTTGTCAAAGAGATATGCGGCCGGGTAGATAGGCACCATAACCTTGTATATCTGGCCTGGAACGACCTCAGACATGGGAGTGGGAGGCTGGATAATAACGCGATCCTTATCAAAGTCTTTGGCCACTTCATCTCGGTGTGATAGGCGAAAATAGCCTCTGGCGAAGTTATCCATCGGTTCGCCATGATTGCCCTTTAATACCACCGTTTTTCCGTTCTCATCGATTGCGCGAAGATAGATGAAGAGATCCATGTCCTCAGTACTGGTGCTGACCTCAAGTTCGAGATAAGGCGATCCAAGGATTTCAAAGGACTCGGTGAACGGAGATTCGAGTGCCAATGTGATATTTTCTCGGTAGCCCTGGTAAGATAATTGCTTCATTTCTCCTGCCGGGCGGTTCAGAGATAGTTGCTTCTCAGGAGTGAGATAAAATGAGACATCTTGTGCATCGGAAGGCGGGAAGGAAGTCTCGTCTTCTCGGTACAGGGTCTTGGTGCCATGATGCTGAAGTAGCCGGATCCGAGGCACGTCCAGCATTCCGTTATCCTTCTTGTCGAAAAGGAAATAGTCCAAGAACTTCCTCTGCATGGAAATATGGTCTGGCTCATAAAATGCGCCTAAATGGTTTCCAGTATGCATTTCCAGCCACTTTTCCTTTGAAGAGACGCTATTGAAGGCGCGAATGTTGCCTGGAAGATGTACCTCTGGATCCGTCCAGTTGCCTGCCACATAGATAGGCACTTCTATATCAGAAAGCGATCTAATCTTGTCCAAAAAGCCAACGGGGCCTTGATCGGGATACTCGTTTGTTGCCATGAGGTTGGGGAAATCTACTCGGTCTGCCTCAAGCTCGTCTTTGGTTCGTGTTCCATCTCGTGCTCCTCGTTGCTGAGGTATAACGATGTTGCTGTACCAATGGGATTGGAAGTTGTGGCTATAGATCCCCCCTCGACGACCAGCTTGATAGATACTACAGGCCGCTTCATATGACATGACGCACGTCAAATGTGGTGGTTTCTGCATGGCGGCCCAGTATCCTACCATACCGTAGTAGCTGATGCCTGAAAAGGCTACCTTACCGTTGGACCAGCTTTGAGCGGCAGCCCATTCAACCACATCATAAAGATCTAGCGAGTAAATGAGTTTCTCAAGACCTTTGCAAACCGAGAGTAGATAATAGCCTACCTTGGCCTTCAGCATCAGCCTGGATCTCAAATGATCTTTCCAAGCCAAAGGGATCCAGCCGGCCTTCACTATTACCGATACCACGCTCATCGACACGGAGAAGAGCGTAGCCGTACTCTTGGCACTATAAGTTGTGGATGTGAGAATCGGGTCAGGGGTGTTAACAGTTTATGTGGAAAGACGTACCCAAACGAGCGGCTCACACAGCTCGAAGCATGCATCTGGCCCAAGCGGCTTGATGTGTTTGTACATCTCGGCGTAAATATGGGTCTGAGGTAACCCAAATGATGAGGCGTGGACGTCCTTGCCGTAGGGTCCGAGACTACAAATAACTGGGACCTTTTTGCCGTTTTTGGATGCTGAGAAGGGGAGGAAAACATCAGCACAAAGCCTGACACCATCGCGCATCGGAATGATGTCGTGTTTGATACGAGTGTAGCCTTCCACATCAGATGACGTTCTCTCGAATTTGGTGGCCATAATGAGCTAGAAGTTGGCGGCAACGTTAATGTTGCCTAGGAATTGTTGGAACTTCCGTGAATACCGATTTAAGTAATATTTTAGGTAGATACTTAAATATTCCATGTCCCGAAGTGAAGTGGGGGCGGTCTCATGGTTTGCCGGCTTTCCGTCTGACAAATCCACCCGAAAAAACGTTTGTTTCCGTTTGATAGTTCTAACTACTTCAGTGTAACACTTAACATTGCTGGCAAGAGCAGGGAGAAATACCGGATGGATTATGTGAAGCTCCGGTGCACTGACATGCACCCTTCACGCGGGTTCTCGGAATGAGCCATGAGGGGAACTGTAGTACCATCGGCAAACCGAAGCCCCCCTTACCTGACTCCAGGCCCTGGTTCTGGGCCCATTCCATTGGGCTCGGCATGCCGAGCCAAATTTCGTTACCAATTCTGACAAACTCCATTAAACTCACGTGCTGAGACAGCCCTGTTTTCCAGCGCCCCGCATCACGGGCGGCGTGGCAAGGTCTTTGACGTTCGGAACCCTCTTTACTTCCTGCAGATTGGCCATGCTGACCACCACGCCGCTGTATAGCCTTGATTGCTAGTGTCGGCCTTTTAACAGAGCTCAAGCTTGCCTCTTTCTTTCTATGACATCGTCATCATCCACAAGAAAGCTACGGTTAGGCTGAGTCTAGGTTCCAAAAATGCAAAGCTCGCTGAAGCGAATCTTTCTTGCTGGTGGCCTTTGGGCTCATGCACAGTGAGAAAAGCATCCTCAAGAGGTTCTGATAGTTTTCTATTATACAGGACCGCTCCAATAGCTTGCCACTGAAAAGTGAGAAAAACATTGCATGGGAGAGGTTTGACTGCCAGTTAACCTTTTCTCTATTGGGAAACTATAAAATAGCTTAGAATATAGGAACCAGCGGACTTATGCGAGGTTCTCTAAGTTGCAAAGTAACTCGGGATCAAATTCGTTTACAACAGCTAAAAAAAAGTAAAACAGACTGTGCAGTTTCCCTGTATAGAAGGTTAAGTTGGACTTTAATATTACACAAGGAGTGGTACACACTAATTAATCTCTCTAATATAACATCTCCTTCCTGCAGTTTAACGTAAAACTCAAAGACTCATGTCTTATATACTATTTACACAGACCCATAGTCAGGTTCTAATTCAAGCTACAAATCTTTGAAGTACGCTACCGGATAGCAGTTCTCTTTTAGCTAGCTAAGCTACGGATCTAAACCTTGACAGCAGCATTTCACCGTCATTTAGGTTATCCTCTACCCGAATGGTCAACCAATATAGTTATCAGATCTAGATACTGTCATGTCATCACCATTCCACCTCCAACTGGGATATAGGCACCGTTGATCCAATCTGCCTGCTCCTCGCACAGCATCGCCACTGCAGCAGCAACCTCCTCGGGTGCCCCAAGCCGGCTTGCCACCGGGTTCCTTTCCGATTGCTTGTAAACCATATCAAGGAAATCCTTTGGTGCCGACAACATGGCGTCCGTAGCAATTGGGCCAGGTGCAACGGAATTGACCGTGCAGCCGTATTGCCGTGGCAGTTCCTTTGCCCAACACCGTGTAAACGTCTCTATCATGCCTTTTGTCCCGGTGTATATGGTCATCTGCGGCTCAGGGGATCGTGTTGACTCGCTCGAGATATTTATGATGCGTGAGTGTTGGCCGGATAGGACAGGAAGTGCCGCTCGTGTAAGGAGCAGAGTACCTCGTCCATTGAGAGTGACGATGCGATCCCAGTCTTTCAGGACTTGTTCGATAGACGGCTCATCAATCCGGGTTGGGTAAGCTATACCCGCATTGTTAACGAGGATATCGAGTCTCCCAAACTCCTTGATTGTGGCATCGATGAGCATGTTGGGTCCGTCGACGGTGGACAGATCTGCCTCAACGATTCTGGCATCGCAAGTCAAAGACGAACGAACATCCTCGGCCGCCTTCTTATGTTCCGGCCAAGGGTAGTTGATGACTACTGAAGCGCCTCTGTGAGATAACTCTTGAGCTATAGCAGCTCCGATGCCTGAGGAAGCGCCGCTCACCACGGCAACCTTTCCGGCAAGTGTCTGTTGGGGGTTCCTGACCATAATGAGTTTTTGATAAAGGGCTGGGTGCGTTGGTGTGAAAGTATTGTTCATGACACTGAGGCGTCTGTGAAGTGTTGTATATAACATTCGAGGCCAGACTTACCGTTGGAGAGACACTTCTTCCGTGCCATCCGGTTCCGAATTGAGACATTTTTGCTATTATAATCCAAGAGTTTTCTCAGTACTTGGGCTTGTGCTGTTAAGTGAGTATCGGCATGCCGACTGTGCGAGATGGAGAAGGGCGGGGTACGCCAGTTCCTTAATAGCCCTTCGGGACAGGATGTATCCGAGCATTAGTATGAGCAATTGTGACCCGGAAGCATGCTACTCCCGAGGCTTGTGTATGAGAAGTCCCAGGGAAAACTATTCTGAGGTAAACCGGGACCGTTCAGTTCTCAAGATCGATCGGGTTCTACTCTTTCGTCCCCCCC